CCACCTTTCCACCTGGCCGTTCGTGTTCCCCACACGGAGCCAGCACCCTGGAGAAGGGGGAGACTGCGGCACACCCCACCACCCGAGCCTCACTGCCGGTCACCCGGACAGCCTACCAGGGGAGCCCGAGGCCCTCCTCAGCCAAAAAGCAGTGCAGAGGGAAGCGGCCGCCCAGGATGCACCCCCATCCCGAGGCGTACTGCAGCAAGGACCTCAGCTCCCAAGGCCGGCTGAGCCCCTGCTGCAGGCCGGCCTCCCTTCCCCACTGAGGCCCTGGAGCCCCTCCAACTTCTAACCACCCTCCCCAACCGTGAGCTGGGAGCCTCTGGGCCTCAGCACCTCCCCCCAGGATCTAAGCCCCCGGCCCCCTCCATCCTGGGGACCCAGCAGACTTGACCCCAAGTCCCTTCTCGGTGAGGGACCCTGCGGTCTGGGCGATCAGCCCCTGCCCTTTGAATACCCACGAGTCCGGCCCTCGCCCCCCAGCTCTCCTGCCCCCACCCCAGGTGTCCCCTCCCCTGACTCACCTGTCTGTCCTTTGCCCAGCGTCTTCTCCAGCCGATAGGGGCCCACATATTGGGCGTGCTGGGGTGGGTGTGGGTGTGGGTGCGGGAGATGGTAGGCGGGGGAGCCCCCGCCCCCCTCCTTGGCCCCGGACGACATGGTGCCCTTGGTCCCGGTCCGGCAGGCCCCCCGGCCACCCCCCCTGCGGCAGGTCGCCCCGTCCCTCCGGTGGGGGCCGGCGACAGCTCCGTCCCGGCCCCCCCGGCTGCCCCCCACCTCTCCGGGGGTCCCCAGGGGTCTGGGCTGGGCCCCCCCAGTCGGCGGGCCGCGGAGCTGGGGGAGGGGGGGCTGGCCCGGGGGGGTCAGGCCCCGGGAGTCAGCATGGCCCGGGGGGGCTGCGCGGCCCCCCCTCCCCAGCCCGTCCCTGGCCGGCCCCCCCCCCCTTCCTGCGCCTCCCCCCGCCGGGGGGGTCTGAGGTGCGGGCCGGCGGATGCTGCAGGCCGAGGTCCCCCCCGCCCCCCCCACGCGCCCTCTCTCCTCCGCCTCCTCCTCCTCTCCGCCTCCCCCCGCCACCTCGTCCTTTCTCTCCGGCACGCTGACATCACCATCCGGGGACTCCGGGCCCTTCCCCAAAGTTAACCCTTTCGGAGGGGGGAGGGGGAGCGGGGGCAGGGGGCGGGCCTGGGCGCCGGAGGGATGGAGAGGAGGTGGGAGGGTGCAGGGAGGGATGGGAGGATGCAGGAGAGGATGGAGGAAAGGCGAGGGAGAGAGATGCGGAGCAAAGAGACCGGGCGAGAGGGAGCTACACAAAGGGAGAGGAAGTGTGACATAGAGACGGGGACAAGAGGCAGCTCACTAGAGAGATGCAGACAACCAGAGACAGCGCTGGCGCAAGGCAGGGAATCGGGCTGAGGTGGGCAGAGAAGGAGAGCAGAGTGGGAAGAAGAGACTAGGAGATGGGAGAGAGTCGTAGGAAGGGCCCCAGCTGGAGAGAAACCGTGGTGGAGAGGCACAGAGGAGGGAAAAAGAGGGAAAGAGCCAGCCAGAGAGATGGAGAGAGACGTACAGAAACGCAGATGTGAAGGGGAAGGGGAGAGAAGGCGAGGTGGAGAGACACAGGTGAGGGGAAAGAGACAGGGAGGTTGGGGAGAGAGATGGGGAAGAACAGAGAGACAGAGACAGGGAGGGAAGGATGTGGAGGTGAGTGAGGCACAGACAGACAGAAGGATGGAGGGTCGGAGGGAAAAGTGGGAGAGGGGGAAAGGGATCAGGGGGCAGGAAGAACAGACAGGTGGAGGGAGAGAGAGAGGCAGAGCTATGGCAAGGGGGGACCTTAAAAGAACAGTAGTGTACATACAGGTGCAAGGCACATGCTGGAGAACATGGGGACAAAGAAAGAGGGTGACAAGCAGAGCCAGGAAAAGAATTTGGGAGTTGCTGAACCAAGACTCAAACAACGTGCTTCCCCAGGCCTCCCAGCCTGCCCACCCAGGCCTCCTGTCCCACTAGTGTCAGGGAAATCCATACACGGTGCAGGTTCTCAGATCATCTTGGCCCACACCTCCATTTAGGATCCTTAATGCTCCTCCAGAGAAACTTCCAGAACCCCCTCATGTCCCTGTGTATTTTTTTAGATGCCTGAATACTCTCTGTGCCCAACACAGGGTCTCCTCCATCTTCATGTGGGCTTCCATATAATTCTACATCCCCGCCAGGGCACATCCCTGGGTCTGTACCCGGAGAGATCTCCACAGAATCCAGGACTCCCCTGTATGAGGTACCCGAAGGTGTTAGGCACCCCTTTAATCCCTGAGTCCCCCATAAAGTGGACCCAAGAGCTTCTAGGCTCCTAGTCAACCACCTTCATCCATAAACCTTTACCAAGGGCGACATCTGAGCTGGCATCGTTGTCCAAGTGGTGAGGGGACAGCAGCGAACCAGATCAACAAAGATCCCTGCCGTGGAGCTTTCACAGTAGTGGATAAGGCGGGTGATAAGCAAGATAAGCAAAATATACCGTATGTTTTGATAATCGAGGCCAATGCTAAAGAACAGATTAAAGCAGGGAGGGGGACAGGAATTATTCGTTGGGTGGAGTATGATTCTTGATACGGTGCCAAGAAAGAACTCTTCAGTGAGGGGACACTGAAGGAAGATGAGGGTCAGAGCTGTGTGGACAAAGTACCGTCCATGCAGGGGACGGCATGTGCAAAGGCCCTGTGGTGGAAGTGTGCCTGGTACGTTGTGGGACCATTGAAGGGCCTGTGTGGCTGGAGGGGAGCGAGTGAGGGGGAGAGAGAAAATGAAGTGAAGAGGTAAATCACATACGGCCTTAGAAGCAGGGCAACCATGCACTTGGTATTCTGTAATTATTACTGGGGTCTGCACTCTGAAGTACCCCGCTGTACCTGGAAAACTGTATGCTCACCCTACTTAGAAGGTCATTATAGGGACTATGGATTCTATAGGCTACCTGGAGAGTTTTCGTGTGGGCCACCATTATGTTATACATATATTAATAGACACAATGTTACACACGATTACATACGATGGACACGTATGTTATATGGTATTATGCATGGTAGCATGCAGTAAATAGCCCAAATGAACTTGTAAAATCCCGAATGACAGTCCCCACAGATGCCCACATCCTAATCCCCAGAACCGGCGCATATTATCAACTCGTGACAAAAGGGGCTTCGCAGACATGACTGAATTGAAGATCTTAAGATGGGACGAGGGTCCTGGCTATCTGGGGGTCCTAATATAATCACAAGGGCCCTTCAGAGGGGGAGGTAGGAGAGTCAGAGGAGGAGATGGGATAATGATGGGAGCAGAAGCCGGAAGGATGCAGCCACAATCCAAGGAGCGCAGGTGGCCCCTAGGAGCCAGAGGAGGCCGGCAGCAGAGTCTCTCCCAGAACTTCAGGAAGGAATACAGCCGGGCTCACACCTTGCATCTAAGCCAGTAAGAAGTTTTAGACTTCTGACCACCAGAACAGCAAGATAATAAATCAGTGTTGTTTTAAGCCCCCCAGTTTCTCATAATTTAAAGGCACCAATAGAAAACTAATACAATAGGGCACTAGGGGTGGGGGTGGGAGCCCGGACCCCCGTCTGAGGGCTATTGTGGTCAGTGCTACAAACACCCCCACAGTGCACACGGCTTCTATGTTGCCTTCCTATTTCTGCCCCAAATATAACCTGGCCCACCCCAGGCCTAGCGTTGGACCCCACCTGAGGGTGAGCACAGCCTTCTCCAGGCGAGGCGGGGCCTCTGATGAAGAGCAGCACCAGGGGTTCTTTAAGCCCAGCTCAAGGCGAACACCTCTACAGCCCAGGCGCATTCCCAGACCAGAACCCCAAAGGCCGCGCACAGAGTGGGTAAGCCTCGCAAAGCACCGCGCCCGGGGGTTTTGCTTCAGCTTTGGCCTTCAAGAATCCCCTCCCGAGCACCGAGCACCGGGCAGGACTCAGGTGCCCGGGGGGGGGGGGGGGGGGGGGAGGCGGGGTGGTAAAGGCGTCTGTAGAGGGCCTGCTGCGGGAACCAGCTAGCCCCCTTTGACGACGGGGGAAACTGAGGCCAAGAGAGGGGTGAGGTGGGCCAACGTGGCTAACATCAGATACGAGGGGTGAGAACCCAGAGCTCCAGAAAAGATAGGCCAGGGGTCCAGGTGGAGGGGAAAAGCTCCGAGGGCGAGGGACCTGCACGACCTGCAAGGAGTGGGTGGGGCCTAACGGGGAGGGGCCCGCTCACCAGCACGGGGCGGGGCTTAGGGGAGAGGCGGGGTTAAGTTGGGAGAGGACGAAAGGCCTAGAACAAGGGCGGAGACCGAGGTAGTAGGGAGGGGCGGGGACATAGGTGTGGGCGGGGCACATCGAGGCGGAGCTAGACTGCGGGGGCGGGGCGTACGCCAAGGCAGAGGTGGAGCTTGCAGGGAGGTCGAAGGGGCGGAGCTCATTAAAGAGCGGGATCCGGATCGGGGGCGGAGCTCAGGCTGAGCTAGGGCGGGGGGGCGGAGCCGAGCGCTGTTTCCGGCCAGGTTAGGGCTTCAGAGTCTGGCACGCCGCCTCGGCCTCAGGTCAGCCCCAGGTTGGGAGGGTGCTCCGGGAACTTCCGGGCGAGACTGGCGTATTTCCGGTTAAGATGGCGGCGCCCACCACAGTCAGGTGCGGGCGACTGTGTCTTTAGGCGCCGCGGCGACTCGAGGCCCGGGGAAGGTGAGGCTCAGGGAAGTGAGGTCCGCCCCGCTTTGGCTCCCCTCTTTGGAGAGGTAGGAGGAGATTTGTTGCTAAGACGTCCAAAGGGAGGACTTGTTGCTATGGAGGTAGGGCGGAGGGGTTGCTAAGAGACGGGACGCATTTAGTGGAGATGGGGGAGGGGGTTGCTCGGTGGAGTGGGTGGGGCCTGCTGCGATCAGGGAAAGGAGGGGCTTGGGACTTTGGGGAAGGGTCCCGTTGGTATGGAGGAAGCAGAGGGGTCTCAGGTTTGGGGTCATGGGGGGCCTCGGAACTCCCCTGAAACGTCACCTTCTCAGCAGACCCCCAGGAGTCGACCCGTCAGGACGCCAGAGCTACCTCAGCGGTGACCACCCCCTACCCCAAACACATTCTTCCCTTCACAAACCGCCCATGGCGGACCAAGGCTCGGGGGGCAGCCGCCTCCCCCTGGCGCTGCCCTCAGCCTCCCAGGGCTGCTCATCGGGGGGCGGCGGCTCCTCGGCGGGGAACTCGGGCCATCCTCCGCCCCCGCGAAACCTCCAAGGCCTGCTGCAGATGGCTATCATGGCGGGCTCTGAGGAGCCAGACCCCCCTCCAGAACCCATGAGTGAGGAGGTAAAGGTGGGGACCCAGCGAAGTCGGGGGAGGGGTGGCCCGGGCAGGGGCGGAGTCCAGGGGTGAAGGCGGAGTAGTAGGCTGTACTGGTGCTAGATGGGTTATTGTCCACTGCAGGTCAGAGCTAAGTGTCTGCGAGGGCAGATGCCCGCATCCCAGCTCCGCGGGGGGATGCGAAGTAGCCTCGAGGTGAAAAGGAAGAGGGAGGGTTCTGGGAGCCAGGCAGACCTGGTCTCAGCAGTATCCAGCTGTGTGACCTTGGGCATATCGCTTCATCTTTCTGACCAGCAAGGTTTTTTTTTTAAAAATTCAAGATTCTATTTATTAGAGATAGAGCGTGCACAAGCGGTGTTGAAAGGCAGAAAGAGAGGGAGAAGCAGGCTCCCCGCTGAGCAGGGAGCCCAAGGTGGGGCTCCATCCAAGGACCCGGGATCATGACCTGAGCCAAAGCGGATGTTTAACCAACTGAGCCACCCGGGCACCCCTGAGCAGGGTCTTTATGTGCAAGCTGATGATAATAAGAGTAGCTGGGGTGCCTCATGGGGGTATTTCTGAGGGGCCACATGGTGCTGGTGCAGAGGCAGGGCTCCTGCAGGCAGCAGGCTGTCGTGAAGACTTAGGTGTGACTTCAGGCTTTGTGCATGGCCGACTGTGTGACCTTGGCATGTCACAACCTTTCTGGGCCTTGGTTTTTCTCGTCTGTGAAGTGGGGATGACAAAAACACTCAGAGGGCTGTCTTGGAGATGAGTAGCAATGTCTGTCTTATGTGATGTTCAGTTGACGGTGGTGTTTCCAGTGTATAAAACATCGTGGTCACCCAGTAACTTCCATGATGTCACCTTTAGGACATTGAAGTAGGAACAGGCACAGAAAGATTAACATCTTGCCTAAACTGTTCCAGGACTTTGATTACAGAGCCCACATTTGAGCACTGATAGCCCCAGCGGAAAAAGAGAATTCAGTGGCCAGCTCTCAGCTGTCCTCTTACTTGACTTAATAGGCAGCATTTCGTTACTGACCTCCTCAAATCTCTTTCTTCATTTGGTTTCTAGAACAACACAGTGTCCTGCTTTTCATCCTCGCTCACTGGCCGTTCCCCATTCCCCAGCCGCTGGATGATGGCACACACCAGGGCTCTTCTCTTCCCTACCTCTGCCCACTTCCTTTTTGATCTCATATCGCGTTGAGATTTTATGCTGACTCTCAAGTTTATATCGCTAGCCCAGTAGTTCTGATTTGATTCCCCTGGGGATAAGTGGAACACATGGAGACGTGTCGTCCCACTGGGGTCGGTGGGGGGGCTACTGGCGTCTGGTGGGCAGAGACCAGGGGTGCTAGTCAACATCTTACCATGCTCAGGACACTGGCATCTCCCCGTGTCCCCTCCCTCGCACCCCCTCCCCGCCCACCCACAAGCTCCCCAGCTCAGAGCGTCCGTAGAGCCAGGGCTGAGAAAGCCGGGTCTAGGCTGCATCTCCTCCCTGAGCGTCAGGCGGCCTATGCAGTGTTTCACCTTGGGTGCGTCATAGATCCCTCAAACTTATCACGGTGGAAAATGAGCTGTAATCTCTGCTCCTGCTGCTCCATACCTTCTCGTACCATTTTCCCCATCCCCTTCTGGTTGCACTGGACAGGCCTGGGAGTCCCTTCTCTCACACCCCGTAGCCAGTCGCCCCGTAAATCTAGTACCTAGGAAATTGTCTTGGGAAAGGCCTCAGTAGGCATCTGTTGACTGAAGGAACAGGGAGCTCTCAGATGTTGGCTCTTAAACGGAACAAGCATTATTCAAGAATTTGTCACTGATGGACGTTTGCTTCTTGCCCTGACCCTCCTGCCCTGGCTTGTACGCCAGAGGCGTCAGTGGCTGCAGGAGGCTATGTCAGCCGCCTTCCGGGGCCAGCGGGAGGAAGTCGAGCAGATGAAGAGCTGCCTTCGAGTGCTGTCCCAGCCTACACCCTCCTTGGCTGCTGAGGCTGAGCTGGCCTCTGACCAGCAGGAACGAGAGGGGGCCCTGGAGCTGCTGGCCGACCTGTGTGAAAACATGGACAACGCTGCAGGTACAGCCAGGCCTGCCCGGGGCTGCCCCTTGTCTCCCTCTGTCTCTTTCCCCCTCCTCAGCCCCACCTCCTGCTGGGGCTTTGCTCTTGTCCTTTCTCTCAGGGACCACACCACTGACCTTTTCCCCACCCTTCCAGCCTCCAGCCTCCCCCTCTCTAGGCTGGCTCCAACTCAGGCCCTAGAAGAGACTCTCCTGTCTTCCTGCTTGGTCTTCCTGCTTGGTCCCCTCAGGAGTGACCTCCTCTCACCCCACCCGCCTGACAGCAGGTCTGCCTCCCTGATGTTCTCCAAAACTGTTCATTTCTCCCTCATCTCTTGAGAGTGCACCGTCACTGCCTAGAACATGAGCGAGGAGGTGGTTCTGGGTGGCATGGTCAGAGAAGGCCTCCCCGGGGGGTGCCAACTGATCAGAGACCTGAAGACCAGAGAGATCTGAGAACCGTGGGGCTGTGGTTGAGTAGGTTAGGAGATGAGCTCTGGAAAAGGCATTCCAGGCAGAGGGAATGGCCAGTGCAAAGGCCCTGAGGTGGGAACCTGCCTGGTGTGTGCGGGAACAGCAGCAAGGCCAGAACGGCAGAGTGCAGTGAGTGAGGGGCTGGAGATAGAGGGTGCCGCTGGGCGGAGCCTTGCAGGCTGATGTAGGCTCCGTGGGTTTTGTTCTAAATGCTGAGGAGCCCTTTGGAGGGGCGTGCGGTAGGCATCGAGGGTGTAGATGGGTGTTCCTGGTTCTCTGGATGTTTCTCTAAGTGGAATCGTAGACTCTGAGCTCTTGGGGCTGGCTTCCCTGAGTGTGGCGTTTTCAAGATTCTCCGCCTTGTGGCCTGTCTGGGAGCCTTACTCCCTCGTGTGGCTAATACCCCGCATGCTCGCCTGTTCTCTGCTGACGGGCACTTGGTCCTTTCCGCTGTGGTTATAGAGAATAACGCTGCTGGGAGCTTTGGTTCCTGCTCTCCGGGATTTGGGGTATTTACGTCACAGTGGACCTGTGATAACTCTGCATCTAACTTTTTGAGGAGATGCCAAGCTCACTGGGTACCATTTTTTTTTTTATTCTTTTTAACACAAAAACGTGGTAGGCCGTAGTTTGCCGAGGCCTGGTCTAGGGGAGGTTGTGATTGTCACAAGCACTGGGGGGCAGCACTGGCATCTAGTGGGCTGGAGTCCAGGACCCTAACCTTCCATGTGCTGGTGATATGGAGACACGCTGGCCTTGGAGGGACCCCCAGTTGGGCGCTTGACAGGGCCGCATTTTAGGCAGACCTCCCCTCCCCCCGCCCCGCCCCAGAGCCAGCCTGCCCCCTCCGCCAGCCTGCCCTGCTGTATTCCTGTGTGAGGGCTGCCATAGCCGCAGGGGCTGAAACAGAAGCATATTTTCTCAGGGTTCTGGAGGCTGGAAGTCTGAGATCCTGGTGTGGCCGGGGCTGGTCTCTCCTGGGTGCTCTCCCCTTGCTTTGCAGGCAGTGCGGGTTTCCATGTGTCCTCATGTGGTCTTCCCCGTGTGCCCGTCTGTGTTCTCATGTCCTCTTAGAAGGACACCAGTCTTACCAGGATCGGCACCCACCCCAGGGACCTCACTTGACCGGGATGATCTCTTAAAGGGCCTGGTCTCCAAATACAGTTGCATCCTGAAGCACTTGGGGGCTGGGGCTTCAGCAGGCAAGTTTTGGGGGGGTGCAGAGCTCAGCCCATCCCAGCTGGACTCTCATGGCCCCTCTCCTTGGCACAGACTTCTGCCAGCTGTCGGGCATGCATCTGCTGGTGGGCCGGTACCTGGAGGCGGGGCCCGCGGGGCTGCGGTGGCGGGCGGCGCAGCTCATCGGCACGTGCAGCCAGAACGTGGCGGCCATCCAGGAGCAGGTGCTAGGCCTGGGCGCCCTGCGCAAGTTGCTGCGGCTGCTTGACCGGGACGCCTGCGACCTGGTGCGTGTGAAGGCCCTCTTCGCCATCTCCTGTGAGTGTCTGGGGCAGCTGGGGAGGGGCCTAGGGGGACAGGCCATACTGGCTCATATGTTCCCGTCGCCAGTGAAGACTGTGCTGGGCGTTGGGGACGGGGTGGAGAGCCCGTCAACCCCTCACCGGGCAGAGCGTCAGATTCCGAGGACACGGGAGCACTACTCAGCTCAGGTGCTTCCCGCAGATCAGGGTCTGTGGCCTCTGCTGTTGACACTCCCTGTGGTGAGGAGGGGCGTGGCCTGTGCGCTGTGGGGTGTTGAGTGACAGTCGGCCTGCACCCGTTAGAGAGAGCGGCGGCTCTCACTCCTGCCGTCTCCTGGGCAGCAGGTGCCGCTACGGGACGATGCCAGCGCCTGTGGGGCCCTCCGTGCCCGGCCCCACGCCAAGCCCTGTGCACATGTTACCATGTGTAGTCCACGCACACAGCCTCTGAGGTAGGGAGACCAGACCCACGTGGTGGAGCCACCCGGTCAGGTCACCTAGGTGACAGCCCGGGGCACCCCGCAGAGTCCTGCAGATGTGAGGCGTGAACCCAGGCTGCATTCTTCTCCGTGATTCACCGTGAGCTGGGCCCCTGTCTGTGTGTGTGCTGTGCTGGGGGCCCCACTGGACTGTTTCCTTCTTCTTTTTTTTTTTTTTTTAAAGATTTTTATTTATTTATTTGGCAGAGAGAGACACAGCGAGAGAGGGAATATAAGCAGGGGGAGTGGGAGAGGGAGGGGCAGGTTTCCTGCTGAGTGGGGAGCCCGATGCGGGGCTCGATCCCGGTACCCTGGGATCATGACCTGAGCCGAAGGCAGAGGATTCACAACTGAGCCACCCAGGCGCCCCGGACTGTTTCCGTCTTAAATCAGCTCTACAGGGATAGAATTCACAGGTTATGCAGCTCATCCTTTGAAAGTATACAGTTCAGCGTGTTCTGTAGGTTGTGATCACTGTCCAACCCCAGGACATTCCCATCCCTCCCAAAAGAGCCGCATTCCCATTAGCAGCCCCTCCTCACGCCCTCCGTCCAGCCCCCGGCAGCCACCAGTCTGCTTCTCGTCTCCGTGGAGTTGCCTGCTCTGGACGTGTCCACCACGTGGCCTTTTGTGTCTGGCTTCTTTCACCGAGCTCGTGTTTTCGGGTTCATTAGCCTATACCGGCGCCTCATGCCTTTTTATGGCTAAATAATAGGTCGTTTCCGAAGGGGCTGCGTCTTGTTTATCTGCGCATCAGTTGCTCAGGGGTGGTATCAGGCGGTTTCTGCCTCTGGCCGGTGGCAGCGCTGCCCTGAAACACTGGACAAGGTTCCTCGTGGACGTGTTTTCCTTTCTCCTGGGTGGGCACGCCTGGAGTTGGACTTGCTGGGTCCCATGCCAACCCCGTGGTTCTCTGTTTGATGTTGGAGGAGAACCCATTTCTTCTACTTCCAGTGTTTGTTGTTGTTGTTGTTGTTGTTTTTAAAGGTTTTATTTATTTATTTGACAGAGAGAGGGAACACAAGCAGGGGGAGGGGGGGAGGGAGAAGCAGGCTCCCGCGGAGCAGGGTGCCCCATATAGGGCTCAATCCCAGGACCCCGGGATCACGACCTGAGCCGAAGGCAGACACTTAACGACTGAGCTGCCCAGGCGCCCCACTCTCCCAATGTTTGTGACACAGAATGTGTGGGGATCGCTTACAGATGACCAGTTTTCAACTCTCTGGACAGCAGCTGGGTGTTCTGTGGTCCCTTTCTGGTCCATTCTGACACCAACTCCCGGGGGTTGGCACATCTCAGGTTAAGGGCTCAGTTGCATGAGATGGCCCCTGGCTGGCCGGGTCCCTAGACCATGCAACCCTTGATCTTGGGGTCATGAGTTCAAGCCTCATGTTGGGTGTGGTTTAACTTTAAAAAAAAAAATTTGGGCTTCGTGTACTTCTTAGTTACTGGGCATGTACTGGGTGTTCCCATGAGCCCCTCCTCAGGTTCGGTAATTTGCTAGAACAGCTCACAGAGCTCAGGGAAGTACCTGTGTTTGGTGGCTTATTACAAAGGCTACGGATGAACAGCCAGATGAAGATGGGCATAGGACGACGAGGTCTAGCAGGGTCCTGAGCACAGGAGCTTCTGTCCCTGCAGTCGGGGCACACACACGTGTTCACTAACCCAGAAGCTCTCTGAACCTCACCATTTAGCCATTTCAATGGGGGCTTCCTCGTGGAGGCGTGATGGATCATGGATTCCGCTCCCGTCCCTCTCCTCTGGGGGTTGGGAAGTGGGGCTGGAAGTTCCAGGTTTCTAATCCTGGCTTTGGCGTTTCTGGTAAGTAAAACCCATCCAGGAGTCCGCCCACAGTCCCTCCCTGGAATGAAAGATGCTCCCATCATCCGGGAAATTCCATGGGTTTTAAGAGCTTGGTCTCAGGAATGCAGGCAAAGACCAAATATATATTTGTCATGTCATGGTGGCCCTGGAAAAAGAACAGAGAGGCTGGAAAGGAATTTTGGCAAGAGCGAGAGAAAGAGGCCCAGAGCGGTGGTATCTGGAAAGTCATGTCCAAAAGTCAGGAGACAGATGGACAGACAGACCTCTGGTGGCTCAGCCACAAAGGATAGACAGAGGACTCAGTTCCCCAGAGGTACCAAGAGCCAGAGCAGGATGCGGGAGGGATGGGGCAGACTTTTCTTGTAATAGCTGACATTAATTACATCTCAACAGAAAACACGGAGAAGTTAATGCTTATGAAGCTCAGGCTGGTTGAAGTTAGGGTGGTGAGGGGAGCGGGGGTGATTCTGCTGTGGGTGCTGATGGTAACCTGCCCCTCCCTCTCTCTCACCTCCCCACCCCCAACCCAGGCCTGGTCCGGGAGCAGGAGGCTGGGCTGCTGCAGTTCCTTCGCCTGGATGGCTTCTCCGTCTTGATGCGGGCCATGCAGCAGCAGGTGCAAAAGCTCAAGGTCAAGTCGGCGTTCCTGCTGCAGAACCTGCTGGTGGGCCACCCCGAACACAAAGGTGGGGCGGCCAGGGGAGGGAGCCCAGGGACGATCCCTAAGGGAGGGCAGGGGGAGGGGAATGCCTGGGGGAGGGGTGTGGACTGCCCCTCTGACCCCCAAGACCCTTCCCCCAGGGACCCTGTGCTCCATGGGGATGGTCCAGCAGCTGGTGGCCCTGATCCGGACAGAACACAGCCCCTTCCATGAGCATGTGCTTGGAGCCCTGTGCAGGTATGCTGGGGCCTCCGAGGGGGCGAGGCCTGGGGCCGGCGCCCCCACCTCTCGGCTGACACCACTGGGCTCCAGCCCCGCAGCCTCCTCCCCTCTAGGATTCAGGACTTGGGGGCTTTTCCACGGAGGGGGCAGGAATCATTGTGCTGGCCCTCCCCGAGCATTCCTTTCTCCTCACATGTGGGGGGCCGACCCGGCAGCCTGGGCAGAGGCGGAGTCTCTCTGACACCCCCCCACCCCCGCCTCCGCTGCACACGGGACCTGCAGATTAGTGTCTGGAAAAGATGACAGAACAGAGCAGCCGTTGGAGCAGGTGGCAGCTCCCGTGTGTGGAGTGGCTGCAGGCCAGGCTCTGTGCCGGGCGTCTTAGTACAAGTCTCCCCGTAGGCCCTGGGGTGGGGTGGGGACAGCGTGAGGTCTGTACTGCAGATAGGGAAACTGAGGCCCAGTGCAGGGAACCGTCTCGCCCCGGCTCCTGGGGGAGGGGCGGCCCTGTGCAGAGGGAGGCCCAAGGATGGCTCTCCTGTCTCCGCAGCCTGGTGACAGACTTCCCCCAGGGCGTGCGGGAGTGCCGGGAGCCCGAGCTGGGCCTGGAGGAGCTCCTCCGTCACCGTTGCCGGCTGCTGCAGCAGCACGAGGAATACCAGGTACGGTGGGGCCTCGGGCATCACGCTGTGCGTCGTGCATCTGTGTCCTGTCCCTTCACTCACGTGTTTCTCCCGCCGTCTGCTCAGCAGGTGCTTGCTGCCCCTGCCCGGGCTGCGGGCCCGCGGGAGGATGAGGAGCTTGGAATGTTTGAAGGGGTTAACTGAGTCATTTGTTTATTAACCAATTTTTTTTTAAAATTTTATTTATTTATTTGACAGAGATCACAAGCAGGCAGAGAGGCAGACAGAGAGAGAGAGGGGGCAGCAGGCTCCCTGCTGAGCAGAGAGCCCGATGCGGGGCTCGATCCCAGGACCCTGGGATCATGACCTGAGCCGAAAGCAGAGGCTTGACCCACGGAGCCCCCCAATGTTTAATTAAATGAGTAATAAGTGACAAATACCGCGGTAGATGTTTAGGTAGAGGAGTAGCAAACGAGCGATCCCTTGGACAATGGGACGGTCCATCCCGAGTCCGTGAGCGGCGCAGATGGGTGACCTCCCGTCTTGTTGAGTCGTCGGGTGATGGAGGCGAAGTTCCGCCCAGACGCTGCGCTGAGCCAGTGGCCCCGTCCTGGGACGTCCGCGCTGCTCCGTGCATCCCTCCGTGACACTGTCGACTGTTTGCAGAAAGCTGTGGGCAGCGAGGGCAGGGACGACCAGGAGAGGCGGCTGCTCACCCCCAGGAGCCTGGCCTGACTCCAACGCCCGGACTTGTGGAAATACACGCGCGGGGATTGTGCGGTCCTTGGGGCCCCAGCCCGGCCGGGGCCGGGGTGTTAGCTGGGGAGCGTGTCAGCTGCTGCTCGCTGTCTTGGCGCGCCCGTTCCTGGAGCTGCTGGCGTGCCAGGCCCCGGGCAGGGCCCACCTGGTGAGGGAGGCTCATGCAAACTGACCAACACTCCTTTTTTCTTTCCTTTTTTACTTCCAAAACATCTTTTGCAACTTTGCTGGGGTGTAGTTGCCATATAATAAGCTCCACTTATGGGAAGTCTGCCACGTGAGCAGTTTAGACACGTGGACATACCCGTGGAAACCTCATCCTCATCCCTCCGTTGGTCAGGGGCGGCGCATGTGGGCGCCAGGCCCCGAGCTGGGCGCCAGGGACTTGGAGAGGAGCCGCGGGATCCAGTCTTGGCCCTCACGGGGCCCGGGGCGGGGGGAGAAACATGTAGGCAAACACACTGGAGTACGTTATTTACAGACACACCTGGTGTGTGTGTGTACGAGCACGTATGGCTCACGCGGTATGGGTATCTGTGTAATTTAACATTCTGTTCTGGACAGGGTGACGGCAGGAAGTTAGGCCTGCGGTGAAGGAAGCAGCCTGTGAGGGAACAAGGAGGCCGGGCAGTGCTGTTTTCTGCGCGGTGCTGCGCTCGCTCCCGACAGCTGCTCTCACACTACAGCCGACGGGGCGGTTTAGCGCGTTTTAGCAGTTTAGCAGAAACACGTTGTCTCACGGTTCTGGAGACTAGGAGCCTGACGTCCAGGTGTCAGCAGGGGCGTGCCCCCTCTGAAGGCTCCGGGAGAGAATCCTTCCTCTTCCAGCTGCTGGTAGCTGTTGGCATTCCTTGGCCCATCCATACGCCATGCTGGTCTCTCCACATGGCTTCTTTCCCATGTGTCTGTGTCTTGGAACTCTTTCCAGATACTTAAATACAGGTCTGCTTTAACTTTTTTCTTTCTTTTTTTTTAAGATTTTATTTATTCGTTAGAAAGACAGCACGAGCGGGGGGAAGGACAGAGGAAGAGGGTAAGTGACACAGGGCTTGATCCTGGGACCACAGGATCGTGACGTGAGCTGAAGGCTGAAGGCAGACACTTAACCCACTGGGCCACTCAGGTGCCCCAAGGTCTGCTTTAATTTTAGCACAGTTGAATAATGCAAGTGGCGTGGTGTTCTGGAAGGTCATTCTATCATGAGTTAGACGGCCCTCTTTTGTATTTTTGTAGGTAAACTTAAGAGTTAAATTTCATGAATCCTTTCTTGTGAGAAGGTCCTGTGGTCACATGGTTCAAAATTCAAGATGCAGGGGAGGGTGAACAGTGGAAAGTCTCCCTGTTGCCCGCGTCCCTAACCACCTAGTAGCTCCCCCAGTTCCATGTGTGACCTTCCTAAGACAGTCTGGGGACACAAGTAAATGTGTGTATAAATTCTTCTTTTTTTTTCTCTCCCTTTTGTGCAAAATCTGCCTGTCCTGATCACTTTTCTGCTCCTTGCCTCATCCCCTTTCACAGCATCTCAGGGAGGAGTGCAGAAGGAGTGTGTTGTGTGTGGCTTTTCCTTGTTTCTTTTAGGGCTGCAAGGTAGGTTGCTGCTTTCGTGTCATGACCCCGCTTACTGGACACTCTGGTTGCTGCCAGCACCCTGACTAGAAGAATAACCCTTTACTTATGTTTATGCGCGTGAGTGTGTCTGTGGAGCAGCTGCCGGAAAGGGACAGCTGGGTGAGGGCAGAGGAAAGGTGAAGTTACAGAGTTAAGGGCTGTTTTTGCTATGTTTTGCCGAGTTGCTCTGTATAAAAGTTGGACCAGTTGTTAGTCCAGCCGTGAGAGTGCCCAAGCGTACCTCAGGCCATTTGACCTGTTTTTTCAAGCTGATTGGTGAAAAGTAACAGTATAGTCCGGTTTACATTGGCGTTTCTCCTGTGAGTGAAGTTGGACAGTTTTCCCTTTCTGTGAACCGTTCATGCATATCCTGTGCCCATTTGTCTACTGGGTGGTGGCTTTTGCAGTGGGTTTGTTAAAGTTCTTGAACTATAAAACATGTTAGCCCTTCCTGATGAGTTGCAGATTTTTCACCCCACATTGTTGTTTTTCTTTGGTTTTTGTTTCTGGCATCTTTTTGCCATGCAGATACCTTTTATGTTCGTGCGGTACCACTTATGAGTGCTTCTTTCTTGGTTTCTGGGGTCTGTACCCGTGGAAGGGGTTTTAATTTTGAGTGGGGACTAGGAGGGGTTGGTCATACCCAGTTGTTAGAAGGAGCCCAAGGGGCCTGAGATGAGGACAGACCAGTGGGGTGAGACGGCCTTGGGCGACCCGCCCCATTCTGGTTCAGTAATCCAGGCATAGGTGAGAAGAGAAACAGTGAGTCGTGGATCTCAGCTGAAGTCAGAGAACGCTGGGAGGCTTCTGGGGCACGCAGTGGGGAGGGAAGAGAAGCTGTCTCCAGGCGCAGAGCATGCTGGAGCCAGGGGCCCGCCGCGCACTCAGGACTCCCACTCTTGTCCCCCCCAATCTAGGAGGAGCTGGAGTTCTGCGAAAAGCTGCTGCAGACCTGTTTCTCCAGCCCAACGGATGACAGCATGGATCGGTGAGCCCAGCGGCTTATCACCCCTCTCCGTGGGAAGCTCAGGCATCCTGCCTCCCCGGGGGAGCAGGGCCTTGTGGGTGCGCGGCCAGGGCATGCCAGCCCGTCTCTGCTCAGCCCTTGGAAGGGGCGCGGGGGAAGGTGCCGGCTCCCTGGATCCCGGCCCTCCCTGTGTTCTCCCTTCTGTGTCCACACTGTTCTTCTAATAAAGGTGTTTCTCCTCCTCCAGCTTGTTCACCATGGCCTCGATCTGCTCCCCTGGAGGGGGACTGGGTGGGAGGGGCATGCTCTTAGGGGACCCCGGCAGTAGGTGGAGCCTGGACATGAACGTGCTGCTCTCTACAACCCAGAGCCTTCGCCTCTCCTCGCAGCCTCTCTCCACAGGGAGTGGAACCTGCGCTTCTCATTGGCTTGTCTCCGGCTGCTCCATTTGAAGAACCCCCCTTGCCCTTGGTGCCCAGGCTGCCTGCCCTGAGGCCGAAGCCAAGTTATTGCCCAGCATCCCATGCAGAGGTGTGTCATGTGACATCAGCTCAGCCTGTTAGAGTGCCCTGCAGGGCCTCTATGGTGCTGATGCTGGGAGAAGGCTGTAGCAGGTGCACCCAGGGCTCTGTGTGCCCAGGGCTTGGCCATGGGCCTTGTTCCGACTACAAAGCATCTAGCCCTCTCCAGCTTTCTCAGAGATAGGGGCTGTGAGACAGGGCCCCATCTCCTTTCCTAAACTGCGTGTCAGTTTAGCTAAAGGAGGTTGCATCATTTGCAACCAAGGCTCCTGGCCAGTGCCGTTTTTCAGGTGAGGAATCCAAGTCCAGGGTGATTGAACCATGGGCAGAAGTTCACAACGCCGGGTTTCAGACAAAGCTGTGCCCCCCTCCCATATTCTGGCTTCCTAGCTCATTCCTCTCATGTGGAATTTACCTGTTCTGGGATTTGGGAGGACCGGTGATTTTCACCTTCCTTCCCCAATTCAGGATAAATCGAAAGGCAGCTACAGGATTCCAGAAATGGAGATCCAGTGTCACTTTTATTACTATTAGTGCCAATCAGAGGAGGTGGCTTTAGTGTTGCTTCTAATGCTAATGCCCAGCATTAGACATGGCATATTGTCGGGTCACAGGCAGCACTGGACAAGCACAGGCCTTCCCTTGGGTGTAGCAGGCCAGACACTGGGCAGGCCGGCTCTGAGAGAGGGAGACCTGCAGTGAGCCAAGATGCCCATCCAGTCTGGTGAATTGTTCTTCAGCCCCTGGGAGGGGTGGAGTGGCCAGGAGAAAGGCACTAAGGGGTTCAAGTTCCTTCATGTGGAGGTGTGAACGATGGGGAATGGGTGTTACCACCAGACGGTTTAAGAAGCCCCTTCCAATTATTATTTTTTTTAAGATTTATTTGAGAGAGAGTGTGTGCACACGCAAACAGGGGCAGGGCAGAAGGAGATGGGGGAGACTCTCAAGCAGGCTCCCCGCTGAGCACAGAGCTCCATGTGGGGCTGGATCCCACACCCCTGAGATCATGACCTGAGCTGAAACCAAGAGTACCACCGTTGACTGACTGAGCCAGGTATCGGCTCCGCCCCTTCCCGTTCCAATCCGCAGAATGCTGTAATCAACCTGTGAGTCCTGACGGGGGAGACAGGTTTCAGTCCTTAAAGCTCCTGCAGCTTCCAACTTCTTCCAGACAGTGTCCCTGGTCTCATTTGGTGGTTGAATATGGCCAGCCCCCGCCCCTCAGTTCCTGAGCTTATGTGTTAAAATAATATGGCAGCTGTGCGATCATAATGGGGAGGAAAGCAAGCAAAATGCTGAGTAAGACGGAAGAATGTGACAGAGGAAAAGAGGACTCAAGGAACAAAAGGACATGCCCCACAACAGCTTCAAGTTGAATCACAAGTAGGAACCTGGGTCCATGTTAAAACCTCGGAGATGAAAAGGTAAGATTGGCAAAACTAAGGAAACAAGACTGTGGTGGCTTGCTCAGGGGATATTTGCTCCCTCCCATTCCAACCTCCTGAGAGCAGGAGACTCTCCCACCCGTGGGGTGTGGAGTGCAAATGCTGCCCCATGGCTTTGGGCATGATCGAGTGTGATGTGCTTTCACCGACGGATGGGGGCGTTTCTGCCTTTTCTTATGGCCTCGGTATCCTAGACACGGGAGCAGAGCCAAGGCAGCTCGAAGCTGCGAGCCCGGCGCAGGCTGCCCAGGTGGTGACTGTGACACAGCCGCGGGCAGCTGACACAAGGACCCAAACCGTCCCATGCCACAAATACACTGGAAATGGCAAGGCCGGGAAGAGACAGGTGAAGATGACAAGATTATCGAAGCGAGGAGAGAGAAGCGAAGACATGGGAAGGACAATGCATAACCGGCAACCCTGAAACAGACCAACCAGTACGGGAAGATACCCTCCACCGCACGACTCCACAAAATGTCTCATTGATACAAGTCAGTGTGCGGGTTAAAACATGGAAGGTGGGTCAGTACGCGCACTCGCTCGTCCGATCCTTACAGCGGGCCCGTAACGTGGGCGAGGGGGACACGAAGCCGGGGAAACTGAAGCAACAGTAAGACACGGCCGGGCAGAGGCGTGCAGAGACGCGCAGGTGGGACCCGAGTCCGCGCCGCCAGGAAGGCGTCAAAAACCGCGCGGGACCTGAGCGCGGAGCCTTGGCTGGAGAGAAAACCCGGTCTGGAATACCCAGGAGCTGGACCCTGCAGCCAAAGCGGGACCATAATTGGACGAGACGGAGGAGCGAGCGGGAAGAGAAATCCTGGAGCAGGATCTCCTCTGGACTTTGGAACGGAGTCGCAGAGAAAGGCTGGCAGCGCGCAGGGGCGGTGGCGCGCAGTGGCGCCTGCGCGTTGGGTTGTCTGGGTTTACTCAGGGAGACACTGTTGGCCCGAAGCAGCGCAAGCGCGTCGGCGCTGAGGGCCGGCGGAGGCAGGGCGGGGGCGGGGGAGGGGGGCGGAGGGGACGCCCGGGCCTCTGCGCGCACGCGCACTACTGGGCCCGGGCGAACGGCGCCCGCGCACCTGGACTGCGGCGGGTGGGCGGGGCTTCCTGCGTGCCCCTGCGCTAAGGGATTGTGGGATAGTGGCGGACGGATCCGGGCGTCGGAGGCCCCGAGCCGACTGTACAGCCTGAAGACCCAGCGGGTTCGGGGGAAGGGGCGGCCAGGGAAGTGGGCCTCGGCTTCCGTCGGCAGCTCCTCAGCCCTGCGGCCTGTCCGGACTGAGGAGGCAAAAGTCTTCCCTCACGGGCCTTTGCTTTCCCGCGCGGCGCCGGGCCGGGCCGGCCGGGGCGACTTCTCCGCCGAGGGCCTCCGCGGGCCTCGCGACCGCTCTGACCTCCCCGCGCCCCCCGTCCGCCGGCGAGCTCCGGACCCCCGCCTCCGTCCCCCGAACCCCGCGGCTTGGCGCACCGGGGCCCCCTTAGGCCCGAAGGCGCGTGCGCGAGCCCCCGCCGCCTCCCCCCGCCCCCTCATACCGGGCCCCTCAGCAGGGGCCGGAGCCGCCGGCGGCGGGGCGGGGGGGGCGCCCGGATGAGCCCCGAGTGCGAGGAGCCGCCGCCCCCCCGCGCAGGTGAGCGGCCGCCGCGGGTCCCCTCGGCCCGCCGGACAGCCCCCCGCCCCCCGTTCCTTAGTCCCCCGGCAGCAGCCCGCCTCCCCTGGCTCTCCTCCTGTCCGACTTCCCGTGCTCGGACGCAGCCCCACCGCCGTGGGACGTCTCCACCGTTTCGTCCCCAGCCCCTCCCCGGGAGCACCCTCTTCCTGCTCTTGGCCTCCCCGGCCCGGGCTCGGGCCCCAGCAGGGCAGTGGGGCTCTCCCTGCCCTCTGCCCGGCTGAGCGTGTGCGGGGGGGACTTGCCGTGAGGCCCGGTGGCGGCGGCGGGAGGGGACACAAAGGCCCCGCCGGGCAGTCACAATTAGTGGTGTTGTGATGAGGTAGCTCAGGGCCCGTGGGCAGCCGAGGAGGGGCCGGTGAGACCGGCGCGGCGCTCGCTGTCTGGGCGGACGGTAGGGCTTGACAGATGGAGAGTGGGAAGAGGGGCCTTCCGGGCGGAAGGAACAGCACGTGCAAGTCTCTGAAGGTGGGGACCCGGGACTGGGTGCAGGAGCGTGGGGAGGCGGGGACCTCGGAGCTGCTGCTTGTCCAGACCCTTGAATGACCCCTTCCGGTTAGGGTCCTTCCTTGCGCGCTCTTGCACACCCCGGTGCCGGCGCTGAGGCCCTAGACGGGACGGGAACACCGGAAGGCAAGATGTTTCTGGAAGGGAAGCTGTGTGAGGTATGGTGTGGGGTTTGCAGTTGTAAAGAAACTTCAGTGGGGTGTAGACGGGTGCTGACGTCGGTGCTCTTCTCCTGCGGTGGCTCTGGGCCTTGGGCGGGCTGTGTGTGGGGGGGGGAGCCTGTAGCCGAATGGGAGGCCTAGGGCGTGCTCCGGATTGGGAGCTCTGACGGTGATTGCCGGGGTTGGCTCTGTCTGTTGCAGCCGTCCTAGGGCCGATGGTGTCCCCCAGGGAACATTCGGCAATGGCAGGAGGCCCGGTGGTTACTCCCGGTTCCGGTGGGTAGAGGCCTGGCGTGCTGCTGGCCGCGCACAGAGCCCAGGACTGCCCCCACTGCATCATTTCCCAGCCCCAACGTCAGGAGTGCTGCGGGGGAGAACCCAGCTCTCTCAGTGGCTGTGTGTTCTGAGTTGTGTATTTTGATCGCCCTTCGTGTTTTCCGTGATTTTCGTGAGGTTCCCTGCTGTTTTCTCTGCATTAGAGGGGAACCTGCTGGTTCCCTGACCCCAACCCCCCCACCCCCAGCACCAACCCTTTTTTTCAGGATCCGTGGGAAGTGACTCTGGCAGGTCGCTTTCCCATTCTGGACTTCACTTTTTTATTAATTCAACAGGTATTTCTAGCTGCCGGCCTGGCCTTCTGCAGAGGGAGGCAGGTGACAGGAGAGGCGAATCCTGTCACAGCAGGCGGACGCGGTCCTAGGGTGGCCACGGAAGCTGGGGTAGCGTGGAGCAGGCCCCTCGCGCAGTCAGGGGAGGCTTCCTGGAGGAAGTGGTGTCTGTGCTGAAGCCTGAAGGACCCAGGAGGAGCTAGGCAGGCTCGAATAGCTGGAGGGAAGGCAGAGGGAGCAGCCAGCCAGGGCAGCGCCAGCAGTCAGGTGTGCTGTGGCGGGCGAGTTGAGCGCCATGCGGGTGGCCGCCAGAGATGAGGTGAGAGAGGCCCTGGAGCTCTGGGGAGAAGGAGAGGCCTTCCTGGCCTCCGTGGCGCACCGGCTCCCTGGGGCAGGCCCGGCACGTGGGGAGTGGGGACACGCCCTCCTTTCCAGGCCAGAGCTCTGGTTCTCTTTGAACCCTGTTTTATAGGTCTTCCCGTGGGAGGTGTGGTCCGCCGGTCCCCGTGAGGGGTCCCCCAGGTGAGGAGACTGAGGCTCGGTGCTGGTAGGACCTGGTGCCGGGCTGCAGGGACCTCATTTGGAGGGGCAGGGCTGGACCCTCAGCTGCTCTGACTGCAGATCACCCTGAACACCGAGGCTGCTTCTCTTGGTGTCCCAAGCGCGGTTTTAGGGTCTCTTCTTTCCCTTTCCTCCTTGGGACCTGTACCTGATCCGGGAGAGGGTCCCCTAATGTGAGCTCTCAGGCCCCTCCTTGGCCCTTGGCCTGGGGTCTGCAGTTTGTTTCCTGATTGCGCCTTCCCTGGGTGGGACCAGAGCAGCCGCCTCCCCTGGGACACTGGGCTGTGGGCTCTCCCCTAACTGGGTATCCCTCCCAGGCTTTCCCAAGTCATGGGAAAGTCCCAGCTCATCGTCCTCCGTGGCTCTGGCCAGGTCTGCCCTTTGTCCCACATGGGCGTCCTGCCGCCCACCTTGCTGCGTCTGTGCTGGGTTCTGTGTCTAGCACACGCACGGGTCCTCCTCAGAGGTAATGGGGTCACCATTACTGGTACCCTGTCCTCGGAATCCCAGTCCCCTACCCCCTTTCCAGACTTGGTGGAGAACTGACAGTTGGCCGGGGGGCTTGAGGGAGGTGGTCTCACTGTCCTTGGGTCTGTTGAGCCCCGCGAGGGGCTGGGGCCGGCCTTTTGGTGGTGGCTCTCCTCCCTCATGGCTCACGTAGCCTGGGCCTCATAACAGCAGCCTGTGGGCCTGTGATGGCTGAAGGTGGCAGCCCAGGCGGCCACCCTGGAGGCCCTCCCAGAGGCCTCTGTGCCCTTGACCCCCACTTCCGAGTGCTTCGGGGCTAGGGCAGGCGAGGAAGAGGTGGAAGATGAAGGACCTGCCCATGGGCTCCCCGGCAGGCGGAGTCGTGTCTGGACAGACACAGCGGTGGCGGCGGCCACAGCAGGGCCACGGGTCCCGCACCTTGGGAGCTGTAGCCATGCCCTGCTGGAGCCGAGACGGGGGCCGGCCGCTCTCGAGAGGGCAGCTGGTGTCAGAGCCTAACAGCGACCCAGCAGAGCAGGGAACCCACGGGGACGGTGCCAGGCGGCGGAGGCAGAGGTCCTTCTCTTGTTTAATGGCTTCCTTTCTCGCTTACGGTTTCCCCTTCTTCCGTTTGCAGCCAGAGTCATGGTTTTCAAACTGCCACTGAGCGCGGCGCTAGTCACTTCCGCTTTCTTGAAGCCCGCTCCGAGTTGCCTGGGGCGGGGGCGAGGCTGTGTGCGTGTCCTCCAGCGTGTGTGAATGACCCGCGAGGCTCAGGCAGGCGGAGGGGCAGTCCTTTTCAGGGTCCTCGGTGTTTCGAGCGGTCACCCCAGGTTCGTGGCTGGCTCCTGCCCTCCTGCTAGGGTGTCCAGGCTTCTGCGCAGTCAGGGGCACCTGCCTGAGCTGGCGGTCCTCGCAGCGTGGCCCCATTGCACAGATGGGGATGCCGAGCCTGGGCTGGGTTCACCGCATTAGAGCGTGAGAATGGGAACCCCCCTCCTGTCCGTCCTCTTCCCAGGGCTTCCAGCAAGAGCTGCTAAGTGGGACGAAGTGCTTGGCCATCAGCACTTGTGACCGTGTGTGCGTTTAGTTCTCACGTATTGGCCTCTCTGCTCTGTGCAGAGCCTGCGAAGTGATGGTCGTGGGGTCCCTACACCGCCCGCTTGCATCTGACCCTTGCAGCCTTCTCCTGAGGGAGAGCTTAAGGGGCAGCCTGGGTCTGGGGCCCCTGGAGCCTGTGCCCCACACCACCCAGCACCTTCCTGTCTTACTGTGGGTGGCCCGCCCCAAGCCAGTTCTCTGGAAGGCCCGCTTGGGGAACGAGGCCCTGCCTGCTGTCCCAAGTGGGCCTGCTGTGGGGGCTTGGGGCGGTGCCTGGGGGCCCGGGCCCTCTAACTAGGTGCTTGGAAAGTGGGCGGATCTCAGTGCTAAGTTCCGCCTGTCGTCAGGAGAGAGGCAGGCGAGTCCTGCTTCTGCCTCTCAGTGGCCGTGGCTCCACCCCAGGGGCCCCTGTCTCCACGGCTGTCACGTGGGAATCATGGTCATACTTTACCTCCTCGTCTTGGAGACCGGGAGCCCATGTAGGTGCACGGGTTTCAAGAGGCTTGGGCTGGGCCCTTTGCCCACCCTCGGCCGTGGCGCCCCCACCCTTAGCTTGGGGACACTGGGAGGCCACCGGGGCGGGTGGGGAAGGGGAACCGGGGTGCGCTTGCTGTGCCTCAGCCCTTCTGGCAGCTGCTGTCTTGTCGGCTTGGGCTGACTGGGACCCACGGCAGGATCTGGGCCCAGCCCTGTCACCGCAGCCTTGGGCAACTTTGGTTTTGTTTTTGGTCGTGGTTTTGTTGAGATGTAATTCGTATGTCGAGTGATTCATGTGTTTGAAGCGCACAAGTCAGTGGTTTCTCTGGTGCATTCTGAACTGCGCAGCCGTCACCGTAGTGGGCTTTTTTCACCGAGGTAGAATTGGCAAGATTGTGTACAAGCAGTTTCAGACCTTTTTTTTTTTAAAACATGCTTTTCCCAGAAGAAAATCCCATACCTGTGAGCAGGCACTCCTCACCCCCAGCTCCCGCGGCTCCATCTGTGGATTTGCGTCTTCGGACAGTTAAGTGCACAGAGTCCGACCACACGCCGTCCTTGGTGACTGCTTTGTTCACTCTGTGTAGGTGGCCTTTTTTTTTTTTTTTTAAGATTTTATTTATTTATTGGACAGAGAGGGATCACAAGTAGGCAGAGAGGCAGGCAGAGAGAGAGAGAGAGAGAGAGAAGCAGGCTCCCTGCTGAGCAGAGAGCCTGATGTGGGGCTCGATCCCAGAACCCTGAGATCATGATCTGAGCTGAAGGCAGAGGCTTAACCCACTAAGCTGCCCAGGTGCCCGTAGGTGGCCTTTTGAAGCCTCTGGTGTCCTCGTGGGGCATGAAGGTGTCGGGTGTGGGAGGAGGTGGAGGGCTCACCCCGCAGAGCTCCCTGCGGCCCCCGGCAGTGGCTACCCCTGGAGGCGGTTCTGGTCCCCGCTTCGTCCAGCTCAGGACCTGTGCCGGTGCCGGCCACCAGTGTGTGGAGCATGAGCTCTGTCACGGCTTGTCATCAAATGAGGGGGGATGTCCATCAGCTGTGGAGGGGTTCCTGGGGAAGGTCCGGGGTCCAGGCAAAAGGAGGGAGTTGCTGGTGTGCAAAGGAAGGTCGCCGAGCTCCTCAGGATTGGGGGGATGCAGTTGGCTGTGCTTCTGGGGCAGTGGTGCTCCCTGCCCCTTCCATCCCCACACCCCCGCCCACCCCCGCCCCGGCCTCATGACCTGCTCCCTCCATCCCCCCGCTGCCCGCATGACATGACAGCAGCTTATGGGTGGCTAGGGGGTGACTGGGTGGGAGTCATGCCCTGGCAGGGGTGTTGCCTACTGCCTCCGAGGGGCAGGGGCCTCATAACATGTGGGGGTGCAGATGGGGTGCCCTTCTACAGGTATTTCTTTTTCTTTTTTTTTTTTTTAAGATTTTATGTATTTATTCATGAGAGAAGCGGGGTTTGGCAGAGGGAGAAGTAGTCTCCCCACTGAGCAGGGAGCCCAATGGGGGACTCGATCCTAGGACCTCGGGATTATGACCTGAGCCAAAGGCAGAGCTTAACCATCTGAGCCCCCGCAGGTGTCCTCTGCTGGTATTTCTGAGTGAGACCTGCATAGGACATTGTGCGCTTGGAGCTGTCCTGCCGCTCCCGGCAGCCTAGTGAGGATGGTGGTGCCCGTGCGGACCGTCGTCTGGTTGCGGCATGTGCGCTGTGCAAGTGGCTGGGTGTGGGTGGTAGATGGAGCTGGGGCCACAGGACGGCAGGCATGTGCTTGGCAGGAGACCCCGAGGTGGAGGAGCAGCCTGGGACTGGGGCGTCCCAGGCAGGCGAGGCAGCCAGAGCCAAGTTGCTGAGAAAAACCCAGGCGCGGTGTGCTCTGCAGCCAGAAAGGCCCCTGTGTCCGGGGCCGGTGAGGGCAGCAGGGCAGGATGAGGAGGCGTGGGACTGTGGAGGGGCGCCCTGGGCATCGGAGCACAGACGGGGGCGTGATCAGGTCCCAGCACAGCTCTGCCTCGACGCCTGTGCAGCGGGATACTGGGGGGATGTGGACAGCGCAGAGAGCACGGGCAGACCGGAGAGGGCCGGGCCGGTGGCGGGGGGCTCACGCAGGTGGAGAGCAGCCCCTGGATTTCTGGCGGCTGAGTGGCGCGAGGGAGCTGATACAGTGGGCGCCCGGGCCTCGGCTTCCTCCCTGAGTTCAGAGCAGTCTCTTGGCTAGTGAGGACCAGGAAGGAGCCGGCCTTGAGCTACCGGGAGGTGCTGGCGGGTCAGAGCCTCGGCCCAGCGCCCTGCCCATTCCTCTGGGAGTGTTTGTGGCGGGGCCTGGGTGGCCGGTGCCTCTGTGTACCTCTGCTTCCCGACCCAGGACACTGTGGGGCGGGGCCTCTGTGCCTTCCGTTGTGGGGGGGTGGGCTGGGCTGGGCCGATCCTGAGAGCGGGGCTGACACCGTAGCTAGCGCGGCATGCGTCCATCATGTGTCTGGCGTCACGGTTGTGTAATGCCAGGAGGCCGGGATGTCCAGCATGGTGCTGGGGCGGCGATGGCACGCAGGGACCTCCTCTGGAGAGCCGCGGGTTGGGGAGGCACCGCCCAAGACGGCAACCCCTGGACGGCACGGGAGGGGCTGGGCTGGAGCTTGCTTGGGGGCTGCTTCCTGGTGAGGTGGTGAGGCGGGCCTGCAGCAGGGTCCGGCAGGTGTGCAGACTTGGCCAGCTCCGCCGGCGGGCGTGGGACAGTGAGCGCGGCAGGAGCTGGAGGTCCCCTAAGGGGGCCTGGAAGGCTGGCTGGGGCCCTGGGGTCTCGAACCCTTTTGGACTTCGAGGAACCCTGAGGAACCCTTTTGGGCTTTTGGCCAGGAGTGAACATCAGGCGTTCTGGTTTGTGTTTCAGAAAAGTGGCCAACCTGGGGTGAAGGGTGTAGGGATAAGGGGCGAGTCTCTGTGGGACGGGATGTGTAGGCTTATGGGATGTCCCCACCGCCCCCGCCAGGGCCTGGTGCCTGCTGCTGTCCTCCATGACTGGGAGTGCTCCGGTCCACCTGCTGTCGTCCTGGGCCGGGGTTCGGGGTCACAGCGGACTTAGAGCTGTTGTTGCTGGTCATGGAGGGTGGGGAGGATGCAGGGAGCGGGAGCCGTCTCTTGCGGAGGCTGGAAGGGAGAGCTGGTGGTGGAGGCTCAGGAAACCAGTCCTGCCCGAGGTCACACATGCCCCCCGCTCTGCGCTGGCTTTTAGTCCTGACGGCTACGTGCGTCAGAGCTGCTCTCTGCTCCACGCTGGTGTTCCATCTGTGGCCGACGGGTTTTCCACGGTCAGGGTGGTGTGGGGCAGACAGGGTGAGGAGGGCATCTAGGAGAGGGATTGCTGTCCGTGGGTCCAGGTAGTACCCAGGAGGCCCTCTCCGCCTGTCCTCTGTGGCCTCTGCCTCATGCGGTCTTCACAAGGCAGGTGATGCATGTGAGCTCTGGTCCACGCCTGCGTGGTGCTGGCGAGCCCCCACCTTCCCTCGTGGTGGGGTGGCGACAGCCCCTCCCAGGGGCACATGGGTGCTGTGCACGGTGGACGGAGGGGGTGGGGAACAAGTGGCCTGGGAGCTTGATGGCATATGCAGGGCGGGCCTCACGGGTGGTCTGGACTGGGAGCCTGAGGCCTCCTCAGGAGCGGCTGAGTGTGTGTGCAGAGGGGGCAGCTGGTCACCTGTGCTGGGGTGGGCCGGGCACGCAGTGCCTCCCTGCTGGCTGGGGAGCAGGGTGCCATTCTGCAGGTGCTGGGGGACAGCCTTGTCCTCCTCCCCACTGAGTCACTGACTGTGCTGGTTCCTTTGGTCCCCAGTCAGTGGCTGTTCTGAAAGGCCCCCTCCCCCACTTTTCCTCTTTTTTGTCCGGCCACTAGATGGGGGGTGGGGTGTGTTTGTATGTGTATATGTGGCATCCAGGCAACAGCCACGGCCTGGGGACATCTTAGACTTCCCTCTGCCGCCGCCCCACACCCTGCACAGGGCATGATGATCTGCTGGGCTGGACGGCAGCCGGGTGCTGGCCACCGTGGGGCATTTGAATTTGTTCAGCAAATATGGATTGAAGTGAATCTGACGCTGGAGATGTCAGGATGAGCACTGCTCCAGCCCTGCCCCAGGGGGGTCCCTGCCCAGATGGGGGACAGAGGACACAGGCCCTGGAGGGGGACAGGATGGTGATGGCTCTGCTCACTGCTCTCCTTTGTGGGGTCTGGGGGCCAAGAGGTGGTCAGGGTAGCTGGCTTCCGCTAAGAAGTGACCCCTAGACTATAGGGGGCCCCTCGCAGGCTGTCACGGTGGTCGGGGTGTGGGGACTGAGGTGGAGGGGTGGGGCAGGCCAGGCCAGAGTGTGACAGGCAGTCCTGCCCTCAGGGCGCCATGTTTTGGAAGTTTGACCTGCACACGAGCTCACACCTGGACACGCTGCTGGAGCGGGAGGACCTGAGCCTGCCCCAGCTCCTGGATGAGGAGGACGTGCTACAGGAGTGCAAGGTCGTCAACCGCAAGCTGCTGGACTTCCTGCTGCAGCCGCCGCACCTGCAGGCCATGGTGGCCTGGGTCACCCAGGAGCCACCGGCCAGTGGCGAGGAGCGGCTGCGCTACAAGTGAGCCCTGCCCATCCGGCCCGGGGCTGCCAGGACCTGCTGCTCCCTGGAGGGGCCGCCTCCCAGTGGGGCTGTGGGGCCTAGAGCGGGGGAAGGGTGGGCGACGGATGAAGTGGGGTTTCCGGGAAGGTCGGTGGGGGCGGGGGCCGTGGAGACCCCGTGCGGGCTCTGGCAGGAGGCCATGGGGGGCAGGGATGGCCAGCCTGCTTCCCTTTCTGGATGTGAACCCCCCTTCTCCTGCCAGGTACCCTAGCGTGGCCTGCGAGATCCTGACCTCGGACGTGCCCCAGATCAACGACGCGCTGGGTGCTGACGAGTCCCTGCTGAACCGGCTCTATGGCTTCCTGCAGAGCAGCGGCAGCCTCAACCCGCTGCTGGCCAGCTTCTTCAGCAAGGTCATGGGCATCCTCCTCAACCGCAAGACAGACCAGGTGCTGCCCGGGGCGGGGAGGCGGGCAGGCGGGAGGGCGCAGGCCCCGGGTCCTGCCGCGTGACGCCTGCCGTCCCTCCCGTCCCAGCTCGTGTCCTTCCTGCGGAAGAAGGACGATTTCGTGGGCCTGCTGCTGCGGCACATTGGCACTTCAGCAATCATGGACCTGCTGCTGCGTCTCCTCACCTGCGTGGAGCGGCCCCAGCTGAGGCAGGACGTGGTCAACGTGAGCTTGGGCGGGGAGAGTGGGGGCGGGGGGCGGGCCGGGGGCCGCCACAGAGGCCCACCTCCCCTCTCACCCCCAGTGGCTCAACGAGGAGAAGATTGTGCAGCGGCTCATAGAGCAGATCCACCCGTCGAAGGATGACAATGTGAGTGTCCCTCCTCGCCAGGTGTCCCGCCTGCGGCCCGGCCTCCTCCCCCGTGTCTGTACTTCACACCACCCTCGGCCCCTTGTGTGCCTTGTGTCCCTTCCCTCGGCACCCGCGTCCCTGTGTCTGCATGACCCCCAGCTCCCTTGGGACCCTGAAAACAGGATGCGATGGGCCCAGCAGCTGGGCCGGCATCCTCAGTCCTCTTTCTGCCTCTGCAGCAACATTCCAACGCGTCCCAGTCCCTGTGCGACATCATCCGCCTGAGCCGGGAGCAGATGCTCCAGGTGCAGGACAGCCCGGAGCCCGACCAGCTGCTGGCCACCCTGGAGAAGTGGGTCTGCGGTTCCCAGACCCAGGGCGGGAGGCTGTCTGGGGCGTCCTCCCTGTCCCCGCCCGCCACCCTGTGCCCCATACCCCGACCCCACCCTTCTCCCCATCCTGGCCCCCGCTGCAGGCAGGAGACGATCGAGCAGCTCCTGAGCAACATGCTGGAGGGGGAGCAGAGCCAGTCTGTCATTGTGAGTGGGGTCCAGGTGCTGCTGACCCTGCTGGAGCCCAGAAGGCCGAGGTGAGGGGGGCCAGCCTCCCCGGCAGCCGCGTGTCCCTCGGATCCCTGCCCTTCTGTTCAGAGGTGAAGGTTGTGGGGGCGTTGTGGGGACATGGCCTCTACAGGCGGTCTCTCTTCTGGGAGGTCACTTGGGGTCCTGGGAGAGGAGTCCTCTATGCCTTTCTGAGGCCCGCACGCCGCCTGTGGCTTTGAGCTGCCTGTCTGAATGCACGGCCGTCCAGGCGGGTCGTTGTCCGGGATGATGGGGCCTTGCGTGCACGTCCCCGGGAGCAGCTGTTCCCTCGCTTCCCGGAGTGCCGCACATGAGTGTCCCGCACACAGCCCTGCTTCCTGTCCTCTCCTGCAGGTCCGAGTCTGTGACTGTGAACAATTTCTTCAGCAGCGTGGATGGGCAGCTGGAGCTCCTGGCCCAGGCGGCCCTGGACAGCACGATGTCCAGTGTGGGCGTCCTGCATGCCCTGCGCCCGCGGCTGGGCCGTTTCCACCAGCTCCTGCGTGAGCCCCCAGAGGTGGGTCAGGGCTGGGGGGCCGAGGAGGCAGGGCGGCGGGGAGGGTGGCCTGTGGTTCTGTGCGGCGCTGAGTCTCCCCGTGCCCGTAGCTGGAGCCGCTGCGAACTACGTGGGGCAGCCTGGCCCCGCCGCTGGGCAACACCCGGCTGCACGTGGTCAAGCTGCTGGCCAGTGCGCTGAGCGCCAACGATGCGGCTCTGACCCAGGAGCTCCTGGCGCTGGACGTGCCCAACACCATGCTGGTACGGAGGGCGGGACCGCGGGTGGTCTGGGCAGGGGTGTGGAGAGTGAGGGCCCTGAGCAGGGGTGCGGAGAGCAGGGGCTTGGAGGGGGCCCTGAGCAGGGGTGCCGAGGGCATGGGGCATGGAGAGGGACCTGGGCAGGGGTGCTGAGGGCAAGGGTGTGTAGGGGGGTGGGCCCTGGGCAGGGGTGTGGAGGGCAGGGGATGGAGGAGGACCTGGGCAGGGGTGCAGAGGGCAGGGGCATGGAGGGAGCCCTAAGCAGGGGTGCCGAGGGCAGGGAGCATGGAGAGGGTCCTGGGCAGGGGTGCGGAGGGCAGGGGCCTGCAGGGGGAGCCCAGGGCAGGGGTGTGCAGGGCAGGGGCCTGGAGGGGGAGCCCTGGGCAGGGGTGCGGAGGGCAGGGGACATGGAGAGGGACCTGGGCAGGGGTGTGGAGGGGGAGCCCTGGGCAGGGGTGCGGGGGCGGGGGTCTGGGGGGCCTCTGGTGCCAGCCTGTGCTGCCCCCCAGGACCTGTTCTTCCACTACACGTTCAACAACTTCCTGCACGCCCAAGTGGAGCTGTGTGTCCGTGCCGTGCTGAGCGCCGGGCCTCCTTCCGACAGCAGCCTCGAGATCCCTGCCCCAAACCCCGCGGTGAAACACGTGCGCTGGGGCTCCCAGGTCCCCTCCCTGTCCCCATGGGTCCCTCTCCGTCCCCCTGTCCTGCTGCCCGTGCTTGCCAGGCGGCTTCACGGGCGGGGGGGGCCAGGCGTCCGGCCTTGCCCTTAGGTCTGTCTGGGAGAACGGGGGATGCCGTGCAGGTGGGTGGAGAGACGGGGTGCCCTCTGGGCCAAGGCTGTGGTGCGGCGGGAGGGTCCTCAGGGAGGAGCTGTCCAGTAGCGCGGTCAGGTCGCGGTCGCTGTGGGTGTCCGTGGCCAGGGGTGTGTGGAGGGGGACCTTCAGGTTTGCTGTGTCGGTGGAGGTGGGGGTGTAGTGAGCTGGAGTGGCGGTGGACAGAGCCCGGGGGCTGGGGCTCGGGGCCGGGCTACAGCGGGTCTGGGGGTGCCCCGGCCCCGCCCCCACGCCCGCTCTGCCCCCGCAGCTCCTGCAGCAGTGTCGCCTGGTGGAGCGCATCTTGACCTCCTGGGAGGAGAACGACCTCGTGCAGTGAGCGCTGGGGGCACTGCCTGCGCCGGGGGTGGGGGTGGGGGGCCGAGGCGCGGGGCCGCGTCCATCTATGGCTCTGGGCTCGCCCAGGTCTGCCGGGGGCCCCCGCAAAGGCTACATGGGCCACTTGACGAGACTGGCCAACGCCCTGGTGCAGAACACGGAGAAGGGGCCCAACGCTGAGCAGCTGGGGCAGCTGCTGAAGGGTGAGGGACAGGGAGCGGCCGGCCCCGGGGCTGGGGGTGGGGTGTGCGGGGGTGCAGGCCGAGGGGCCCCTCACGCCGACTCCCCCCTGCCCCAAGCAGAACTGCCCGGTGAGCAGCAGGAGCAGTGGGAGGCCTTCGTGTCCGGACCCCTGGCGGAGACCAACAAGAAGAACACCGTGGACCTGGTGAGGCGCCTCAGCCCTCTGGGACGGTCTGCCCTCCGCCGCACCTCCCCGCACCCGCACCCTCCCCAGCCTAGTCCTCACCCCTGCCCGCCGCCCTGCCCCAGGTGAGCACCCACCACCTGCACTCCTCCAGCGACGACGAGGACGACCGGCTCAAGGAGTTCAACTTCCCCGAGGAGGCCGTGCTGCAGCAGGTGGGCTGGGGGGCGGGGCGGGGGGCCTGTCCTGCCCGACCCCACCTGCCCCTGACCGCCGCCCCTCTGCAGGCCTTCATGGACTTCCAGATGCAGCGCATGACCTCAGCCTTCATCGACCACTTCGGCTTCAATGACGAGGAGTTTGGGGAGCAGGAGGAGAGTGTGAAGTGAGTACGCCCTTCTGTGGGAGGGCGGGGGCCCTTGCTGGCCCCAGGGCGCCTCCTGCCAGCCTTTCCGTGTCCTCCCTGCTTCCCCCCATGGCTTGCCTGCCAGTCCTAGCATCGGGGCTTAGCCTGGAGAGCGGCAAGCCCTGCTCCTCGGTCCCTCCTTGGGGGACAGTGGCTGAGGCCCTGGAGGGGAGCCTGGGTTGGGGCTGGGAACGAGGTGGCCAGGCCATGGTCTCGGTGGGGAGCTCACCCTGAGAGACCCTGCGGGAAGGGCCATCGGAGCAGAAGGGGTTACTCTGAGGGCGTTCAAGAGGCCCTGAGGGTAAGGGGAAGGACCAGCAGAGGGCAGGACAGGAGCATTCCTAATACGACACTGCAGGAAGCCAGGGGAGGAGGGCCTGGTGGCCCCTTAGGGGCAGGTTCCAGGGACAGGCAGTTGGGGCCTCAGCTGCTCCTGGGGTCCTCGCCGGCATCTGCTCTGTCACGGTACTTGTGCACTGGGCACATCTCGGGTGTCTTCCCATCGTGTGCCTACCTTCCCTCTCGGCTCAGGGCTCAGGAGCCTCATTAAAGCTGGGGAGACCGAGGCACGTATGAGAGTGGATCGCCCCTGTGCAGCACGGTGGTCCGCTGCTGGCCTGTCTTGCTGGACAGGGATCCCCCTTGGGGGCAGTCATGAGCTCTGTGTGTGCCAGGGCTCCGCTCAGCCCGGTGCCTGGTGTGTGGATGGCCCTAGAGCAGACCCCACCCAAGGGAGGACAGACCGACCACTGGATGGGTGCCGTGGGCGCAGCCGGGTCCTCGGGGACGAAACTGTTGCCACCTCTGTTGCATAGTTCCCAGTGGGGTTAAAAACTATAAAAACCTCAGGCGTCCAGGTGGCTCAGTGGGTTAAGCCGCTGCCTTCAGCTCAGGTCATGATCTCGGGGTCCTGGGATCAAGCCCCGCGTCCGGCTCTCTGCTCAGCAGGGGGCCTGCTTCCCCCTCTCTCTCTGTCTCTCTGCCTACTTGTGATCTCTGTCAAGTAAATAAATAAAAATCTAAAAAAAATTAAAAACTATAAAAACCTCGAAAGGCATGAAACGTTCTAGAGTGGAAGGTGGCACTGGCCCAGCCCGCTCTGGGCGGTTCTGCACGTTTGTGTTCCTGGAGGACAGGCCACGAGGACACGGTGTGGGAGCTTGGCCGTGTGGTGTAGACACCGAGGTGACCCTCAGCTTGTTGACCCCCACTTATCCGTGGCCCTTTGTGGCCAAGCGTGTCCTGAGTTAGACAAGCGATAGAGCGCAGGGGCAGACCGACAGCGCCCTTGGCGGACAGTCAGGCTGTGGACCCAGCAGCAGCCGGGCTCTCGTCAGCCGTCCTTGTCTGCAATTAGCACAGGAGTTGTGCTTCCCTGAGGCTGTCCCGGAAAGGAGCCCAGGGAGCTGGGTGTCGCTGGCCCCCGTGGAAGACTGCGGGTCGCCGTGCCCTTGGGACCTTGAGTCCAGGGTCCCAGCCGCAGGCTGGGCGTTCTGGGGGGGCGAGCTGCGTGTACTGTGGCCTCGCGCTTGGCGGAGAGGTTTTCGCAGCACAGAGAACCGTGGCCGGCCGGTCCCCTGCTCCGTGTGCACGGCGCTGCAGGCTCGGTGGAGACGGGCTGGATGACAGCCGCACCGGGTCATGGCCCGTCGTCTCTTTCGTTGTCGTTTCTTGGACTTGGGGGCCCGGAGGCCTAGGGAAGCGTGGAACAGAGGTGGGAACACACTGCTGAGCCATGCCTGGTTGTGACTCGATTCCTGGCTGCCGTCCTGATGGATGACGGCCCTGTGAGCCCTGGACCCTTGCTCCTAGGGGACATGGGTGCCTGGATGGTTGCCTTGTCTGGGTAGATGCTGCCTCTGTCTCCGGACCGAGAGAAGCAGGCAGAGAGGAGACGAGCTCCGTGGCCTGTCTTGGGCCACTCTGCCAGCTGCGCGGGTCTGAGGCTCGCGTCCCCTCAGGGCACCCCTGTGCGGGCAGAGACGGGCAGGTGGTGCGTCTCTGCCGGACCTCAGCCGCCAGCCTGCCGGTTGAGCGGCCGGACGGATGCCCGGAATGGGTCACGGGCGCCGATGGGAGGCCACGGATAAGCTGCAGCCCGTCAGCGGGTTTGCAGCTGCGGGCCAGCGTGTAGCCGGGGTGTGCTGAGCCGACACGGCAGGAGCTGCCGCACCCTCCTCACCGCCCCCGTGCCTCTCTCCTAGCGCGCCTTTCGACAAGACCGCCAACATCACCTTCTCCCTCAACGCCGATGACGAGAACGTGAGTGCTGCCCGTCCCTGGTGGGGCGGCGTCCGGGGTGGAGGGGGGACACGCCGCAGACCGTGCCGCCCTGCCCCCCGCAGCCCAACGCCAGCCTGCTGGAGATCTGCTACAAGGACCGCATCCAGCAGTTTGACGATGAGGAGGACGAGGAGGAGGACGAGGAGGAGGGTCAGGGCTCTGGGGAGTCTGACGAGGAGGATGGCGCCTGGCAGGGCAGCCAGCCGGCCAGGGGAGCCCGCCGGGGCCAGGCCCCGGGCATGCGGTGAGTCTGAGACCTGCTCAGCCCCAGCCCCAGTGCGGGAGGGAAGCGGGAAGGAGGGCGTGTTCCCACTCAGCTGAGGATCTGACCGCTTGTGTGCAGTGAGGAAGACGGTGGGTCCTTGACGTGCGGCCGCCCCGGTGTGCGTCCGTCCACCCCCCCCGCCCCGCCCTCCCTGGTCAGCTCACACTCAGGGCTTCCCATCTGCTCTCTGTGCCTTCCTTGCAGTAACGGGAGAGCCGGGCGGAGTGTGGGTGAGCTGCCGCCCGCTCGTCATACGCCTGCGGCGCTGGCTGGCCCCACGGCCGCCAACTCGGGGCTCTGCCCCCGCGGCACAAACCGGTGTCTGCATCCGATCCCCCCATGCCGCTGTGCCCCTGAGGCTGGCACGGGCCTGCCCTGTCCCCCTCGTGAGTCCACCACCCTGGCAGCTGGGCTCATGTGTCACTCCCACCTGCTGGGGGGCCAAGCCGGTGAGCCCAAGGTCACGGTTCACCCCGCGTTCTCGTTTGAGTGCACGCTTGCTCTTGCTTTTCCGTTCTTTTTCAAAGATTTTGTCAGAAAGAGTGAGCACAAGTGGAGGGAGTGGCAGGCAGGAGAGGGAGAAGCAGGCTTTCTGCTGAGCAGGGAGCCCGATGTGGGGCTCGATCCCAGAACCCTGGGATTGTGACCTGAGCCCAAGGCAGCTGCTCAACCGGCTAAGCCCCCCCGGTGCCCCATGCTTTTCACTTCTTGATCCTGTCTTGAGCTAAGGTTTTGTGTGTGCTCGGAGGTGGGGTCCGGTCTCCTCCTGCATGTGCGATTGCCACCGTCCCAGCACCTGTTGTCGGAGACCCCGGCCTCTCCCCACTGAGTGCCCCTGGCTGCACGCGTGTGGTTTGTCTTCTGGCCCCTCCCAGCCCGCTCGTCTTTAGCCAGGACCTCCCTGTCTCCATATCTGTCGGGGTAAGGTTTGAAGTCAGGAAGTGAGTTCTCCGACATGGTTGTCTGCTCGGGGTCCCTGGGGACCTGTGGGAACCTGTGGGACAGTTAGCGCCAGCCCGTCGACTTCAGCAAGGATGCTGGTCGGGACTGGGAGGACTTGCCCTAAACCTCCAGGTCAGCCTGGAGACCTGGGAACGGTATCCCGTCTTCCAGTCCCTGAGTGTGGAACGTCTTTCCGTTTACTTAGGTCTCTCTTAGAGAATAAGCTTTGTGCTTCCTTTGTTCAAGTTTTTCCTGCATCTTTTACGTAAGTGGAATTTTGAGATTGTCGCGAGCGTAGAGAGATACAGTGGATGTTGGTACGTGGACGTCGAGCCCTGCGGAGCTCCCTCACTGTGACAGTTAAGGGATTCCGTGGGGTCTCCTGGCTGCAGTCAGGCCACCTGCTAACAGAGTCTGCCTCCTCTTCCAGTCCAGACGCTTTCCACGTCGCGGTTTTGCTTCCTTGCACAGCAGTGTGGTCCTGAGCGGGGTGGCGAGCAGACCCCTGTCTTGCTCCTGACCTTGGGGGGCGGCTGGTCTTCCCGCACGGACGGAGTAGGCTTGTGGGTTTGGGAGATGCCCCCTTCTCTCCCGTTCGCTGAGTGTCTTTCTCGTCAGCTACGTTTAGCGATGTGCACGGGGGTCCCTTTGCCCACAGTGACCAGCAAGACCGCACATGTGGTGTGCTCCGCCCTTCCCCAGTTGGTGGCCACGTGGGCCAGGTGGACCTTCCCCGGCTCGGGCCCTGTGTTAATCCACGTTTACGCTGTAGTGGTGGAGCCTGCGCGTGCGGGATGCTGCTCTCAGTCCCCCCACGCTTGTAGGCAGAGGGAGAGTGTCCTGTCGGCCCTCATCCCTCAGGAGGAGCGCTCAGGATGAGGCGGGCTCCTGGTGGAGGGCTGCCACCCACCTCCCCATGCCCCACGCCCAGCGAGGCCCTGACCGGTCTGTCCTGTGGTTTCCCCGCTGTCCCTGCTCCTCTGTCCCTTGTGTCAGCGCAGCCGCTGATGGGTGGTTTCTGGGCAGGAGCGGAGGCAGCACAGACAGCGAGGAGGAAGACGAGGAGGACGAGGAGGACGAGGACGACGGTGATGGCCGTGTGGCTGGTGGGGGGTCCAGGCCCCCCTCTTATCCTGGCCCCGGCCCCCATCCTCTGGGTGGGTGAAAGCACAGGGTGTGGGGGGTGACGGGGTGTACACGGGCCGTCTGCCTCCTGTGCTCACCCTCCTTCCCTCACTCCTGCCCAGGCTCTAGCCGGACAGCCGCCTTTGACCCAGTGCCTACAGACGCCCTGACTGGCCCCCAAGACTCTGGGGAGAAGGAGCCGTGCTCTGGGCTCCTCACCCCACGGGGGTCCCTTGGCGTACCCCAGGACCTCCCCACCCTGAGCCTGGCCGGACCTGTGGCCCACTCTGCCCCGCAGCTCAGGTAAGGCCCCTGGTGGGGGGCCAGGTCCTGGGTCCCTCGGGCTCGAGCGCTGACCCCAGCTGGCCCTCGGGCTGCTTCTCTCGTACCCCAGGTCTCAGGACCCCGCGTCCCCTTCAGCACCTCAGGAAGCCCCAGATGGCAGTGACGTAGCGGAACCCTCGGGTGAGCTGGCCAGCCCTGCCCACTCTCCCCGTTGTCCCCTGGCCTTGTGTACCTGCTGTGGGCTGGAGCGAGGGGCCTGGCCGGCACCATGCTCTCTGAGCCTTGCGTCTCCTGCCTCTCTCCGCACAGCCCCCTGCCAGGCCTTGGTCAGCGTCGGGGAGCTCCAGGCCACACTCAGAGGGACACGCTCCACTCCCAGCTCCTTGGACAGGTGACCAGCTGGGACCGCTGGTGGGACCCCCCCAGGTCTGCACCACTGCCCTGGGGCCTCGTAGCAGCCGAGGGTCCGATGCTGTGCCCACGCCCACGTGTGGGTGCCTTAGAGGCCCCAGAGCCCGGGGCAGCCCGCTTCGCCACAGGGGCAGAAAGGCTTCCAGAAGGGGGCAGGCAGCGTGTGGAGCCCGCGCCCCAGCCTTGAGCTCCTCCTGCTTGGGGTGGCTCCCTAGGTCTTTGATGGAGGGAACTACCCTGGCCATGGGCCTCTTCCTGCAGGCACAGGGGGCGTAGGGGTCAGGTGGGGGTTGGTGACAATGACCTGCTGATGCCTGCACCCCCCACACAGTGCAACCGGAGACCCTGCTACCTCGGTCCCAGCCCCTGGGGCCTGCCAGCACCCCCAGACCACAGAGGGGGAGAGGAGCCCAGAGCCCTCGGGGCCCCCCCAAAGCCAGAGGTGAGCACAGGGCGGCCTCCCAGGGCAGCTGGTGTCCTGGGGGGGAGGCCCTGACCTTTCTACGTTCCTCTCCCCCAATAGTGCCCAGGCCCCTGAGCTGCCTCCGATGCCCAACGGCTCTGCCCCAGGAGGGCCAGCATCCCTGGGCTCCCAGTGAGTGGCGAGGGCTGCGTGGGTAGTGGGGGCACTGGGGGGGCAGGTGGGGGGCCGGGGGGGGGCGGCGGGTTCCTCACACAGGTCTCCCTCTTGGTTCCCAGGTAACTGCCTGGTCCCGGTGGTGGCGGTTAACTCCTCCGTCCTCCACGTGGACCCTCCGGAGTTGGGGCAGGGCAGGTCCCACGATGCCCTGTTGCCCCGTCACCGCTCCCCACCCTGTCCGCCCCCACGTGCTCTCCTCTGGACTCCCAGGAGCCTGGCGCCAGGGAGACAGGCCCTCGTCCACCCCCATTTGCACTGAGAAAAGAAATTATGGAGCTTTGTCTCCGAGAATAAAGAAACAGTTGAGAAGAGAGAAAGGAGAGAGAGAGAGACCTATATTATATATTATATATGGAGAGAGCGAGCTGGTGGGTGGAGAGCCAGGAGGAGGCCCGGCCGGGCGGGCCAGCACGTGGGACCTGCACCCCCTCTCAGTGGGGGCTGTGCTGGGGGCCTCGTCCACCCTCCCCTCCCACCATGCCCGAAGCCTCCGGTGCAGTGCCCACATCTGTACTCGGCTCAGGCCCGCCTCCAGGGAGGGCCCGAGTGGGGGCCGTGCCTTTGCCCAACCCTTGCCCTGGACCCTGCACTTTGACCCAGGCTGGGAGCTAAAGGACCCTCTGCCTCACCCTGCTGGTTCTGTGGGAGCTGGCGGTCCCCGTCCAAGGGGGTCTCTCGGTGACATTCCTGTGGGGCCCCAATGCACTCACTGAGACCGCCCCCTCTGCACCTCCCACAGACCCCGGGGCGGGGGCATTGGCAGGGGTCTGGCTGGGGTCCCCTTCCCATGCCCAAGGGTCTGGGGTCCAGCCCAGCTGCCAAGTGACCTTGTCCCAGCTCCCCCTTCCCAGGCTGGCGTGAGTGTGCGTGTGTTCGTGCCGAGCTATTTCGTATTGCAAATATGAATAAATAAAGACCGTTTAAGATTCCTGCTCAGACTGTGAGTTCTGGGGCCGGGGCCCTGGGCTGTCCCTGTGCCCTGCCTCGGGCCTTGAGTTCTGGGACCTGGGGCTGGGGCCCTGGACTGTCCCTGTCCCCTGCCACTGGCCTTGAGTTTTGGGACCTAAGGCCGGGGGGCCTGAGCTGTCCCTGTGCTCTGGCCTTGGGACCCCAGACCTTTCCTCAGTCCCAGGGTGTAGCCCTCAGAGTGCAGCTGGGCTCCTGGACCTCCATGTTCTGCTGAGGGTGGGGTCACTTGTGCTCAGACCAGGAAAGAATGTCCTGGGAGGAGGAACAGATCCCTGCCCAGTCTTGTCTGGGGCCTGGTCCCCACAAGCTGTTTCCTGGGGTCCCCTTCGTGCTCCTGGCCCTGTGTGTCCTGGGTCCATATACCCTCCGGGAGGTGGCAGGCTAGTCTCCAGCCTTGGGGAGGGTGACATGGCTGGGTGACCTTGCGGAAGTGATGTCTCCCGAGCCTTGTCTCCTGCTGTGGAGCCGTGGGTGTCTGGGGGTGGCCAGCCCCCCAACATAGGTGGGCACGTGGTAAGCCGTTCGTGGCAGACCCGGAGTCACAGGTGGGCTGAGTGCGCTCATAGGATGTGCTTGTGGAGCCGCGGCCAGCGTGCAGTGAGGACCTCGTCAGACTCCGCACTGGCACGTGTTCCCTCAGGGGATCCGTGGCAGGGGGCGGTGCGGGTCGGTGGAGGCCACATTGTTGGGGGGATTGATGGCCAGAGCCCAGGAGGCTCCCCTGGGTGGCCTGCTGGGGGGACGGTGGGTGGGCGTCCTTCCCCGCACCCTGGCCAGGGCTGACCTGACCTTGGGGCTGATGGCGGTCAGCACCAACCCACCACCCCCTGCCCCAGAGTCCTGGGTGCAGGGGAGCGTGTAGGAATCCCACACCGGGTTCCTCTCGGTTGGTGGGGCATGGGACAATGGGAGGAGAGTGTATGGCCTTAGACCTCCTGGGCAGCTGAGGGGAAGCCCGGTCTGGGGGGTAGGGTGCTGGGGGGGAAAGGACCCTGGGTGCGGAGTGGGCACCTTATCAGTGGTGCCAGGCGGGGCCATCCCCAGGGTGGGGGCAGCATCTCCCCGGGCCCTGTTATCAGCCCCAGAGTCCACAGGACGCTCCTCGGGTTAACGTGTAACCACACGCTGTCCCCTCCACACCCAGAGCCACCCGTGCTCACATAGGAGCCATTCTGGGGGGTCAGTGGCCAACATGGGCGCCCAGGAGGAGGGTCTGCCCGGAAAGCCTTGCCTCTTAGCCCAAGTGAGAAACGCCAGGTGTGGGAGGGGGTCGGGCCTGGGTGCTGGGGAACCGGAGCAGCCTGCGGGAATTGGGGGGCCCTGCCCTCAGGAGGCTGGGCTCCCTATGGGTCGTGACTCGGGTTCCTGGGTGGGGGTGCAGCGGGAACCCCCCCGGCCTGAGTCCTGGCTGCGGGGCGCCTGCCCCCCGGGGACTCGCTGACCCCCTTGTCTCCCAAAGCAGCCGTGCCTGTGCCTGCGGCTGAGCCCCTTCTTTGTCACCTGTGCTGCCTACTTCCTCCTCTGGATCCCTCAAGACCAGCCGTCTTGGGTTGGCGCCCTCGTCAAGTGCCTGCCGGTGCTGTGCCTGGCCGCGTCCCTGCAGGGTGCACCCCGGGGCACCGGCTACCGCGTGCTCCTGCAGGGGGCCCTTCTGTGCTCGGCTGTGGGCGATGCCTGCCTCATCTGGCCTGACGCCTTCCTCTCTGGTGAGCGGGGTGGCCCCAGGCTCTTGTGGACCCCCGGCTGGACACCAGCCCCGGCTCTCGCAGAGCTCTCCTTCCCCTCGGGGGGTCGGGCCACGGGGTCTTAGAAGGTGTGAGCGGCCTGGAGGGACAGAGCGGGGCTTTGGGTGCTGTGGTCTGGAGTAGCTGGTTGAGGATGGCCACACCAAGGAGTTCCTGTCTTGAAGAGGGCACAGGAGCCTAGGCAGGGGACCAGCAAGTGCAAGGGCCCTGGGGTGGGCAGGATGGGTGGGTGGATGGAGCCAAGTGGGGAGCAGAGCGAAATGGGGAGCTGGCGGGCAGTGGCAAGCGGAGTAAGGATGGGATGCAAGTGTGCATCTTAAGGTCACTCTGGGGCCAAGGTCAGGGAGAGGGGAAGGTTGAAGTGGGGAGGCCGAGGGGTGGGGGGTGGCCGGTGTAGATGCTGCTGCTGGGCAGTCCTTCCCCTCAGGCTCTGCACTGGAGGTGGCCACCAGGGAGTGACAGGTCCTGTCTCCTCTAGGCGTGGCTGCCTTCACCGTGGCCCACCTGCTCTACCTCTGGGCCTTCGGCCTCACTCCGCTGCGGCCCGGCCTCCTGCTGTCCATCGCCCCGGTCTCCGTGTCGTACTACGGCCTCCTGCTGCTCCACCTCCCGGCCAGCATGGTCCCGGCGCTGGCGGCCTACTCCCTGGTCCTGGCCTCCATGCTGTGGCGCGGCCTGGCCAGCGGCGGGAGCGTCCGCTGGGGGGCCCTGCTCTTCACGCTCTCGGACATGGTGCTGGCGTGGGACACCTTCGTCCGGCCGCTGCCGCTTGCCCGCCTCGTGGTCATGATCACCTACTACGCTGCCCAGCTCCTCATCACCCTGTCGGCCTTCCGGAGCCCCCGGCTCAAGACCCTCTGACCAGGGGCCCGGATGGACCGGCGGCGCCCCGCGGCCTCTGGCAAGGCCCCCACAGACCCCGGGCTCCTGGACTCCTGCCTGCAGGTGCCTGTGCGGCTCGGGCCCTATGAGAACCATCTGTGGAAACCCACATCCTCCGCCGATTCCCCGTGGCCGCCTTCCCTCTGCTCTGACCGCAGCCTCCCACCCGCCTCCCCTGGGCACCCACCCCCTTCCCTGCGGCCCTGATTTAGTTCGTGCCCAAGTGAAGCGGACACTGAAACAGCGACATCTCCATTATTTGCGGGGGGGCGGTGCTCAGGGGAGGGCTGCTCACAGAAAAGAACAGCAAAGCGTTCTAATTTTTTAAATTTTAATTGTATTTTTTAGAAAATTTTATTTATTTGCGAGAGAGAGGGGGAGACAGCAAGAGAGAGCAGGAGCAGGGGGAGCAGCAGACAGAGGGAGAAGCAGGCTCCCCACTGAGCAGGGAGCCCGATGCAGGCTCTATCCCAGGACCCCAGGACCATGACCTGAGCTGAAGTCAGATGCTTAACGACTGAGCCACCCAGGTGCTCCTATTTTGTAAAATACATGTATGTATGTATGTATGTATGTATGTATGTAGAGAGCGAGCAGTGGGGAGGGGCAGAGGGAGAGAAGCCCAAGCAGACCCCCTGCTGAGCACAGAGCCTGATACGGGGCTCGTTCTCACGACCCTGAGATCACGACTTGAGCCAAAAACAAAAGTCCGCTTAACTGACTGGGCCACCCAGGTGCCCCTTTTGTTTTCTGAAGCCACCAAGGTCCGTTGGAACTGTTTTCACATGTACCATTCAGGGACGCGAGGTCCATCCCCAGTGTTAGGCCCTGAATCTGCTCTTTCCAGCCATTCCTGGGGCAACCCTGCTGCGAGCTGAACCCGGGTCCCCCGTTCGTACGGGTCAGCACTGCTGACTACGCGTGGGCCTGGGGAACGTGGAGTCCCCACAGTGTTCCCGGGTCAGGGTGCGTCCAGCTCTCGGTGACTTTTGCACACAGAGCAGCCCTGGGGAGGTGGCTCACGAGGTCTTCTCATGTGTGCACACCTGGAGATCACGGGGAGGCCTCTGCAAAGCCAGGGCACCCCAGACGGGGGTGAGTTTTAGGGTTTGGAAGATCGAGAGGGGGAGTCACCACCACCTGCGCTAAGCAAGCATGATGTTGCCCACGAGAAAAAACATGCCTGTACACATGCACGTTATGCTAATGAAGCTTACGCCCATCATTGTGCACTTTGGGACTCTTACAGCAGAGGGGAGGCTTCTCCACCCACGCCGTGCTCTCAGGGACTCTTAGAGCAGAGGGGAGACTTCTCCATCCCCACTGTGCTCTTAGGGATCCCCAGAGCCCACTCCTGGGTTTTTTTTTTAAGTTTTTTTTTTTTTTAAGATTTTATTTATTTATTTATTTGACAGAGAGATCACAAGTAGTCAGAGAGGCGGCAGAGAGAGAGAGGAGGAAGCAGGCTTCCTGCTGAGCAGAGAGCCCTATGTGGGGCTCGATCCCAGGACCCTGGGATCATGGCCTGAGCTGAAGGCGGAGGCTTTAACCCACTGAGCCACCCAGGTGCCCCTTTTTTTTAAGTTTTTAATTCCAGTATAGTTAACACAATGCCCTACTAGTTCCAGGTGCACGGTAGAGTGGCTTTGCACTTCCATATGTCCGCTATAATCATCATGTGCTCATCAGGACACAGGCTTCCTTCATCCCCATCACCTGGCTCCGCCTCCCCCATCCCCTCCCTTCTGGGCACCAGCGGTTGCTTCTCTGTAGTTAAGACTCTGTCGTGTGGCTTGCCCCCCCCCCCCACGAGTGGAATCGTGCCGTGTTTGTGTTTCTCTGACTTACTGCGTGCAGCATAATAACCTCCAGCCCCCTTCAGACCTTGCAAACGGCAAGATCTCCATCTTTCCGAAGGCCACGTAATATTCCAAACGTGCCACGCCTTCAACCACCCGTGGACCCGTGGGCTCTCCATACTGCTGCTGCTGCTAGAAAATTCGGGGGGCATGTGCCTCTTTGACTCTGTGCTTCTGTGTTCTCTGAGCTCACCCCTGCTTCTCAGTCCCTGCCCCACCATCAGGCCACTGCATGGGAGGGCCTTGGGCCACTTGAGGCACGCTGCTGTGGCACAACCCTAGGCAGGGGTGAGGGTTCCCCAGGGGTGCACTCTGCTCCTCCCGACCTCAGAGGCCCAGCACTGCCTTCCGTGCACCCCTGGCCTCGTGCCCACACGGGGGTCGTGCCCGCAGACTCCGCCGCCCAGGTCCCCAGGGCTGCCCCCTCCCGCACCTGGAGCCCCCTCCCGCACCTGGAGCCCCCTCCCGCACCTGGAGCGGCACACCTCCCAGCCCCGTGGAAAGGACCAAGGAGGGACATTTCCTGGGAACACGTAGGTCTGGTCTAACAACGGTGAACTTTGGAACCCGGCCGTTGTTGGCGGGCATTGCTGTGCTGTGGCCGTGCGTGAGGTTTCTACACCAGCCCAGAAAAAAATGTCTTGGTCGCGGCTTTGCCCGCTTTGCCGAGATCCTCTTCACATTCCAGCCAACTCTGTGCGGGACGGGGGGGACGGGGACGGGGGCGGGGCGGGGGCGGGATCGGTGGGTGGAGCCTGCCGCGCTTGACCTCAGGGTGGTGAGTTCAAGCCCCACGCTGGGCGCGGAGCCTACTTAGAAAGAAAAGAAAGAAGAGTGTGGACGTTAGTGGTTTATGGTATATTCACAGAGTTGGGCAGCCATCCACGCAGTCAGCGTTAGAACCTTCATCACCCGGAAAAGAGACCCCTACCCTCCAGCCTCACCTCCCCAACCACTCATGCCCTCCAGCCCAGCACAATTCATCTTCAAGTGCTGCCGATCATTTGGGATTCGGGTTGTTGTCAGCATCTCACAATGATTCCTGGTTACGACTCTACCCATCCCGGTGCCTGGGCTCCCCGACCCCAGCTGGCTCCTACCCTTCACGTCCCGTAGCTGGCGACTCCGTTCCACAGGACTGCTCCCCCCCCATCCCCCACCCACCTCGTCCACGTCCTCACTGTCGCCTGGGCTTCTGACCCACCAGATGGGGATGAAAAGTTCCCACCAGCCCCTCCTTGGGTTTGGTTAACAAGCTAGAGGCCCTCACAGAACTCGGGAGAGCCGTCCACTTACCAGATCGCCGGCCTGGGGCTAAAGGGTCCAGCTGGGGAACAGCCAGATGGGAGAGTCGCTATGGCCACGTGGGGTGTGGGATGGGGAAGTGCATGCGGCTCCAGCGGCCTCTCCCCTGCCTCCAGGTGCTCACCGACCTGGCATGCCATGGGAAGTCCAGGCAAGCCTGGGGGCCCGCAAACTTGACCCCTCAGGGTCACCCCCTCCTGTCCCTGTTCCACACACAGTTCTGGCCACACCAAAATACTCTCAGATGCCCTGAGTTGTCCCAGGTCTCCCCTCGCTCTTCCCCCAAACACCTGCCCTCCCCTGCCTGTCGCCTTCCCAACGCCTTTCTCCACTCACCAAATCCTACTCTTGTGTGGAGACTCAGCCCTGGGGCAGACACCTCCCAGGCGCTCCCACCATGCCCATCGCTACCCCCGTCATGGCGCATTCATCTCACACTGGAGTCCGTTTCCCCGACCGCCGCCTCAGCCCCGTGCCCTCAGGACCAGAAGACTGTGTGTGCCCACTGAGCTTGTGGCCCAGAAGCTGCGGATGTTGGGTGACTGATGGGATTGGTTCCAGGTGGTGAATGAATGTGGATTTAGCTCCTGAAGGAGCTGTACGGGGAGAGGTTAGCATGGAGCACAGGACAATAAAGAGAGGAAGGGGGTCAGGGACTGGTGGTGGCGGGTGACAAGGTTGGCGGCTGGTGGTGGCCGGAGCAGGGATGGCCACGGGAGGCCATAGAAGGAGTGACTGAGACAGCAGAACTCTGTGTCTCCCGGTCCTGGAGGCCAGAAGGCCCGGATCAAGGTGTCAGTTGGCAGGGTTCCTGCTGTGGGAGTCCATGGGTATCACACTCTGGAAATGGCTGGCCTGGGGTGCCGGGGTGGCCCCGTGTGTTGAACGTCTGACTCTTGACTTCGGCTCAGGTCATGGTCTCGGGGTCCTGGGATGGATCCCCGTGTCTGGCTCCACGCTCTCTCTCTCTCCCTCTGCCCCTCCATCCCGCTCCTCTCTCTGTCTAAAAACAAATAAGCAAATCTTAAAAAGAAAGAAAACAGAAATGGCAGACTTAAAAATGGAGGACGGACCCGTGGTTGCCGGGAGATAAAGATCTGGGACAGTCAAATATAGAAGGAGGTGGCTCAGGGTCATTCCTCGGTGACAGGGCAGGGCCATATCTTGACTGGTGGTTGTTCCACAGTTCTTTGCATAGATTAAAATTGGACAGCACTACACACACACACACACACACACACACACACACACACTGTTAAAACAACAGCTGTGAAACCTGAAGAATGAGGTCTGGAGCCGGGCAACGGCATTCTACCACTATCGAGCTCTTGCGTTTGATAGTGAGTTTTATGTGCCTGAGATGTTACCACGGGGGTTAGTGGAACAAAGCTCACAGGGGGCCTCTTGTACTATTTTCTGCAACTTCCTGAGAGTCTCTAATAATTTCAAAACAAATTGTTGAAGAAAATGTGGAACTTTATTCATCAGAAACACAAAACAAAACCCACCAAAGATGAACTATTTCTCTTCCCCCTTCTTCCTCTCCCTCTTCCTTCCCTTTTGGGACATTTCAGTCCTAAAGCCATTTGATGGGAATGAACCACATAGGCGTTCACGAATGGTGGTGGTGGTGGGAACAGGCAGGGATCCATTGTGGGGTGTCAGGTGCAAGCGGCGGGGCGGGGGGACCGTGTTCACGTGGTGGGTGGGCCCATGTGCGGAGTCCGAGAGACCGAGCAGATGAAAAGGGTTTCACACGGACGAGGAGCGGAGGGCAGAAAAGGGAGCATATACAGGAGGCTTGCTCGTGGAAATACATTTATGAAGTCTACACAGGCTAGATGCGCTCTAGCAGAGAAAGGAGTTCATACTACAGAGAAGAAGTGAGTGAGTTCCACATGAAAAGATGGCCAATGTCATCGGTCATTGAGGAAATGCCAATCAAAAGCAGGAGGTACCACCTCTCGCCCATCAGGGCTGGTGACGGTCAGAAAAAATCAGAGGTGTTGGCAAGGGTGGGAGAAATGGGAGCCCTTGGGTTCCACTGGTGGGAAGGAACACGGAGCAGACATGGTGGGAAATAGCATGGCAGTTCCCAAAACAACTAAACACGGAATTACCATATGATCGAGCAATTCCACTAAAGGGAATATACCTGAAATAATTGGAAGCAGCGTCCCGAAGAGATATTTGTACACCCATGTTCAAAGCAGCGTTATGCACAATATCCAAGAGGTGGGAGCAACCCAAGCGTCCATGGACGCATGAGTGAATAAACAAAATGGAGACCATCTTGTATACGTACGTAGAGCAGAGGATCACTCACCAGCTGGTGGTGACTTGACCCGAGCCTCACCGATGGCCCCCACCTCCTCCACCCCCACTGCTGACAAAGAGCTTGGGCTGCCCTCCCCCTGAGCCTCCAGGGGGCTCCTTGTAGAGGACTTGTGGGGTTCACTGTAGAGCTGATGGGAAACACACGTTGTGGGAATTGTGGATGGGCTTGGGGCGGATGAAGGAGCAGGGCACTGTCTGATGTCCTGCCCCTAACAGGCCTGTCTTCCCCCTTCTAGCATCCGACCCAGTCAGAAGCCTAAGGGTAGAGGCTCAGCCCAGCAGTTGCATCACTCTGAGAAGGGGGTGGTCCCTGAGGGTCTAGGCCCTCAGCTGTACCTCCATGGGATCCAGTGGTCTAGGGAGAGCATCTCAGGTGGTCCTCACAGCACCCCAGACACCTGGGTTGTGATGGATGCGCTTGAACTCTAACTTTGAATGAATTCTTAATGCGGGCTGGACAGGACGGAGTGAGCAGCTCCAGGGAGACCCTCTGTGTGTCTGCAGGTGACAAATGACCCTCCCTAGGGCTGACCCTCCCAAAGAGAAAGAGAAAGGTCATTGCATTTGATTCCGGAGGCCCCCACAACGAAGTTCCCCCAACTGGGGGCTTAAGGCAACAGAAACATGTTGTCTCACAGTTCCGGAGGCTGGAATTCCAAAATCGAGGTGTTCTCATGCTCTCTTGGGAGCCTCAAGCATCTTTTCTCACCTCTTCTGGCATCTGGGGATGGCTGGAAATCTCTGGCATTCCTTGGTTTGGAGACTTATCATGCCAGTCTCTGCCTCTGGCTTCCCATGATGTTCTTCCTGTTTGTGTCCAAATTTCTCTCTCCTTCTAAGGACACCAGTCATTCGATTTGGGTCTCACTCGACTCCATGGGAGCTCATCTTCACTTGACTACATCTGTGAAGACCCTGTCTCCAGACAAGGTCACATTCCCAGGCACCAGGGCTTAGGACGTGGACACAAGACAACCCACGCAGTCACCAAGGTGAGGACTCGCCAAGACCACTCCCGGCTTCGGAAGAAGCTACTCACTTGGCAGCTCCCAACAGGGTCATGGAT